TCCAAAAAGTTTCTGGAATTTCCCAGCATGCACTAGGGCTGACTCATTTGCATTTAAGAAGCCAGAAAGAAGAAGAGGAGGCTCTACGGTGCTGTCCCTTTATACGAGTCATGAGCTATTTTTAGTGTGATGAGTCATGCCAGCTAACACTGGGGCCCCCCTTTTTATTACACATCATGATGATCTTGACACCAGAGACTCTCGCTGCTTGATGCATGCCCGGCTAATTGACGGTATGACTCGACTGCATCTCTACGCAAGACAATTAAGATCTGTCCGTATCAATTAAAGGAGTCTCACGCTTCATGCTGTCCTGATGAAAGAACTCTGAGTTAATTGTTTGTCTCTTCATAGAGGGATAAAATTCTCGATAATTATCTTTCAGATTTTCAAAGTGACATGATGATTTTTTTTTTTACCAACAGTAGATTTGTACATTTCCTATAAAAAATAAATTTTAAAACAATACAAAATTCTGTGATATGCTGAGCTGCATGTTATCAGTACATTTGAAAAAAGGTGACGAAAGATTGCTTTACAATTTAAAATTTCATATGTTCACCATGAAAGAAGTTTAGAAGTTCAATTTCTCCCCTTTACTATGACAGTCTTTGCCTTTTTGTAAGGGCGATTTAAAGTCCTCAGTTGGCCTGAACGGTGTGTGGTGGGATGATGTCCCTTCCAATTATATCCTCATTTTTTCTGATGAAATAATTCCTTTCCTCTTGCCACACATGATAATTTAATCACTTTATAATCTCCTGTGGTCTACCAAAGTTGTACAGGAATTATAGATGACATCAATGTGAACTGCAGTTGCAAATTGCAGACTCTGCTTAATATCTTAGTGTTAATAAAACCATCATCGTGTCAGCAGAGAGACTGCAAGCTGGTCAAGTTAGACATCAATTAGTTTTCCACAATTTTTCTCCTTGTGTGTAGTAACCTAGTTTAATTAGTGAGATCGGATGGTCTTTATTGCAATTTACTTGATGCTAAAAGAAGGGATGTGTTGATTGGGGTCTGTGATGGGAGCCTAGCTTGGTAGATGTGGTACATCTTATTTTAGACAAGTTGATAGGAGTGAACAGCCTCTAGAGCAGCAGCTTTGGTCAAGCTGTGACAATTTAACCCCTACAGTGCCAGGCAGGGTATTTGTATGTACAACTCAGGGTCAGATTCGAGAGGGCACAACCAGCTTCCCCCCTCCCAAAATAGGGAAACTCTTTTGTTGTCAGATATTTGTTTGACTTATGCCCCTTCCCCTTTCCCTCCTCCTCCTCCTCCTTCCCTCCTTTTCTAGGAGACCATGAATCTACCTCTTATATTATACAAGCAATTCATCAAAAAAATATTCTTCTCAAAGTTCATAAATGTACATCATCATCATCATCATCATCATAATTACGTGTAAACATATTCAATAAAATCACGATGGTAGGGTCTTGATATAGCAGTTTACTTTAATATTGTATGTCTTGAATAACTTTAAAGGTAATGTAGAGGTAACAAAACCAACAGTCTTATAGTATGTAATCCACTTGTAAAAATATATTGTCAGAAATTGATAAAGGGATCCTTGAAGCAAAGAGAGGGATCAGCATTGATAAGGAAACATTTCTTCAGGTGTAGGAGTGCAAAATGTTGTTTCTACAGTAGTATGTATTTGTTTCAAACTGTAGCGATTTAGTTTGAAGGCAAAAAGCAAGAGTGACAGTTTATTATTTTAAAAACATAAGAGTTGTAGAATAACATGTAGGAATAGTAGTATAAAACATGAAAAGTTTCAACAATGTACAAGTATGCCAAGGCAGGCTGCACTGCGACTGTACGAGACAAACATCGTGAAGACCAACATCGCAGCAGAAAGGATGGCTCACGTATCATCGATTTCTCACCCCTGGAAACCTCTCGCTCATCTCCTGGGGCTGTGCCAGACAAAGATGGACTTAACAAATATTTTGTATGTCTGCATCGAGTTTGAATTTACGAGCAAAGCTGGTTGTGTCTCCCTTATTCTGACTTCAAATTATTTTGCTCCATGATGACTTTTTTTATATATTCCGAAATACATCTTCATTAAAACTTTGGCATGTTTTCCAAGTGGCTTTTAAACAAAGAAATGCACGTGACAAATGCACGTGACAAATGCACAATCGTCTTTAGCATGTCTAGAATCTTGCTAGCTGTGCCAGGCACACAGGAGTCTGATAGCCAGTTCAGACTACAGGAGATTCATACAAATCTTGTATAAAGAAACGTTGTATGAAGAATCATCTTGTAGCAATAGGAGCATTCAGACTAGAAAATAACATTGTATAGAGAAACTAATTTTCAAGAGCTGAATTGACATGACAGCTGGCCTATCCTCAGGGCACACTCGTGATAAGCCTTGCCCATTCATACAATTTTTGTATGATACGGCGGTTCAGACGCAAGTGGGACCCTGATTCTATATCAAATTCTCGTTCAAAACTACGCTCAAATAGGCGTTCTGCTACAAGACGTTTCTTTATACAACTTTTATAGTACTAGAATTTATTGGATAACTATACAATGAATTCTGGCAGTCTGAATGCTGGGTAAATTACTCCCTATGGGGCTTTATCCATGTAATGTTTTCTAGATTCTGTATAGCAGATGCATTTCTTTGTTTAAAAGTCCCATAAAAATGTGCCACAGGTTTCGTTCAGATGTTTATATTGATAATATTATACAAACAAGGCATCTTACAAATAACAATGAATTGAAGCTTGACCCAAAATGTATATTATTTGTAAATGGGGTGCACAGATTCTGCAATTTAAAAAGCAATTCTTTTTTAATCTAAGATGATAGATCATGTGATTGAAGGGTACTTTGTGCATTAGCTCGATAATATTTTTTCTGACCGCTATGTCTCAAAGTAAAATTAACAGATGACTTGAGTAATTTTATTTGCATGGAAATTAACATTATTTGTTTCCTTTTCTCAAATTATTGGATCAAACATTGATCTTATTGGGGGGGGGGGGGGGGATTAAATACATCTTTTGAGTAACTTCATTGCCTTTTAACATTAAAACTCATGGAATGTTTGACCATTGATTTGGGAGGAAAATGGAAGATTTTCAAAACCTTTTTGGGGAGAGATTGTCATTATGCATTTTGAACCTGGGATTTTTAATTAAAACCAAACATCAACCATGTACCGGTACATGTGCATGCGTTGTGTACATGTACATGTAGCTGGAAAATAAATATACAAAGGACTAATAGAGAAACAGGGAAAATGTTATTTTATCATGCAAATGAAATCACCCTTGTTAGGAATATAGCTTACTTTTTAACCTGTCAGGAAAGACGCTACACTAATATGATTTCTAATGTAAATGTAAATGTGATTCCACTAACAAGTTCATGTGTTGTTCATAACGCACAATATATTACATCTCTATCTCCTCTGCGGGGAATTTCTTGTCGGCATTTGGTGGTCTATGATCGTTTCTTCTCTTAAATAGTTTTAACAATGGAGATACATGTACGTGTAGACTTTAATGTGTACATGCACCTCACAATGTATCGTTTTGTGTACTAACACCTATCTTGTTTTGTGATTCTATTCATTACTATTGATATTTGTGTACTAACTGCCATGAATTCTGTATTGTAAATCACACCATGTTTTCCCAACAATCTTGTGTTTCCATTGTGCATGTTTCTAGCCTGAACCTAGAAGGAGAAGAAGTCTAATTCGTGCCCAATTATCCGTTCATAGTAGAGCAGAAATTTAGAGTAGATGCTACTGTATCGTTAAAAAGTTTTTTTTCTTCACCAAGTGCCTTTCTTTCACTGAGTATCAAAGAGTATCACCAGATGAGGGTGAAATCAATTTGAAAGAGTATGTGACATTTTGTGCGAAATTAATGATATTGTCATCTGAGAGCTAGTTGGCACCCTTCTAGGTCTTTAGAGATGACATTGTATCTGTCAAAGAATCGTGTGACTTTTTCTGTTGTACAATGGCAAAAAGGAAGTATATGACAATCTTTTGTTTAAAAAGAGAAAAAATGGATTTCAAATTTTTTGAGGTTGTTGAAGATTTCCAAGGAGTTCATGCCATGTAGTAAACTATGAATTGAAAAAAGACTTATGCTAGACATTTCCACAATGGTTTACAGGGTGTGGTTCGTAATTTGTCCATGGCCTAGTGTTTTCTCACTTAATGATTATCAGAGAAGAGATGTCACATACTTCCTTATGCCATTGTAGGGTAGTTCTGTCCCAGATGTCAGTTATCAGGAGCAAAAGGAATTTGGTTCAGAATAAAAAAAACAAGAAAGAAATGGGAGCACTCAGCTTGCCTTGCTTGGTTGCCATGGTAACCGATCAATTTGCATGAAAGCCATATATTTTGTCGCCCATCCCTGGGGATGAGTTGAGAGAGTGTGAGAAGTGAAAGTGAAGATGATGGAATCGGGAAGGTAAGTTGACTGCTCCTCCTCCTTTCAATTTTGCAGATATCTTTCCTATTTTCGTTTTGCTCCATGATAACTTTGTGTCTAGCACTTTGGAGGTCCATGTACTGCTAAGGCGCTTTTACCGGCTCTATTCCCAAACTTCAAGAAGTTTTGATATTGTTAATTTCATTAAACATATATATATGAGTCACTTCAACTAACATACCTACTCCGAAACAAGGAAAGATTGTAATGAAGATTGAAATGAAATAGTTCCCTCAATGCCTTAATAGAATGTTGACATTATTTATGTATGCATATTTGTTTGATATGTGTACCTTCTTTAATATAAGTTTATGACGCATGGTACATTTCAGATGCCTTTATTGAAATATTTGACAATTGATGTTTAATTCTCATGTTCATGTACTTTACATGCATATGCAAAGTTTTTGGTTCATCAATTATTCGCATTCAATGAGATCAGTTTTAGGAATGATATTGTAATATTGATGATAATTAATATTACAATCTTTATTCTGATTTTCTTGTGATCTTTAGGTCAATGGACAGCTAGTGAATACCGGATTGCTACGTGGGTCTGGAGAAAATGGAGATTTTATAGATTTACTTCTATAAGGGTAAGATAAAAAATATATGTTATATACATAAGGGGGTGTTTCACAAAGATCCTAAGTCAAACTTAACTCTAAGTTGGACTTAAACATTATGGAGAGCCATTTGTAGCCTTAAAATAAAATGAATTCAAATGCAAAAAATCATGAACATGAAATCTCCATGATAATAGAAAATATGAATGATTTGAATCAACTTTTTATGCCTTTAAAAATAACTTTAACAAAATATTTTCAAAGATGCTAACGGCTTTCCATAATTGTTAAGTCCAACTTAGAGTTAGGTTCGACTTACACTGTAGATCTTTGTGAAACACCCCCCCCCCCCCTGGTCTTCCTCTGTTCCTTCAGTTCTCTTTTTCTCTCTCATCCATCATATATTCTATCTCTTATTTTCCTTTCTTTTTCTCTGCTTCAGCTCTTGAGCGGCATTTTTTTAATTTGTGAAAAACCTTTTAAATCAACTTTTAAAGTTGTAACAATATCATGGAAATTTCTTTTACATAAACGCTTTATTCATGATGATAACTGTGATTTTATTTTTCACATATACATGTACCTTACAAATACAGTTCAATTTCAAAATAAGGACAATTTTTCTATTTTCAACAGTATTAGAAATTGATCAGGTATTTTGTAAAATTTGTCTGGAATATTTTTTATTTCTTACATTACTTCTCAGAATTACCGTAATTCAGCTCTTTTCTTGACTGTGTCAACATGTTAAATACATTTAATAATAATAATAATAATATTATTGGATATTTATATAGCGCACATATCCACCCTGCAAGCATCTCTCTACATGTTAGGCTTCCATCAAAGACTTATTGTGTCATAGTATTTCTTGTATTGACTTTTTCCAAATATTTTTGTTGTCTTTGTGTACAGGATGATCTTTGGGGTAACGCTATATTCCTGAAGGAGGCTAACGCTATCAGTGTGGAACTCAAGAAGAAGGTAAGATGCTGATGATTTTCAAGACGAAGTCATCCGCTCGGAGCCAGAAGGGCATTTAATCATGTCATTTAAGATACAGTTCATGTCCTTCTGGCTCGCAGCAGATTAAATCATTCTACATCAATACCTGAAAAGGGCTTAGTAGAAAATTAATTTAATAGTAGTAGTCGCAGTGGTGGTGGTGGTGGTGGTGGTGGAAGTAGCAGCAGTAGTAGTAGACCTTATTGGATACATTTGTTAGGTCAAGACTAATCTGCCACAAGGTCCATGATTTCCATATACCAGTGGACTTGTAGCTGTATGTTAGTATGTGTAGTCTCACTTAATATATATTTGTTTTCTACATGCACACAGGTATGTTTCAATAGAAAATTGATATATTTACATTGTTTTATATGCAACATGTGATGTATAAATGTATTTACATGTACGTGTACCTACATGTAGACAAGCGGAGAAGGAATAATGGAACAGCTGTAGAAATAATTGCAATTTTTTTTTAACCAGCATTCTTTAAAACTTGGAAAAGGGGCACAATAGTAACTAAATCCCAGAAGTCTTAGAGAATAAAGTCTGCTTGAAAAGATAACGAAACAAAGAAAAAGACTAGAAATGCGCAGAAAAGGAAAAGAAGCACACGGAAGAGAGAGGAGAGTCTACATGAATGCATAGATACACATTCAAAAAGGAAGATTAACTATGTGTAAAATATAAGAATGACATCTACTTTCAATAACATATCAAAATATCAACTACAATAAAATAATTTGAAAGTACATGTAAATCAATATTTTCTTCTCTGCATGTACCTTTTGTCCTACCAGGTGGAGTTCCAATTCGTCCTCCTGTCTGACACCCTCTACTCGCCCCTCCCCACGGAGCTAGTACCTAGCAGCGAGAGCGCAGAGGTCACAGAGAGACCCTTCCCACGGACGGTGGTAGCCGTCGAGGTGCAGGACAAGAAGAACGGGGCAACGCACTACTGGACCTTGGAGAAACTACAGTGAGTGTTAATAATAATACATAACATTTATTAGGCGCTTAATACGGTCGTTTCTATGCGCACCATTGTCTGACTACAAATTAACAACCCAAACTTATAATAAACACACAAATTATAAATCAGTTCTTTATTCAATAAATTATAAAATAAAAATGAGATGAAACAGAAGATCAAACATTAGAGTGTTACAAAATAATGTGTCCAATCACAAGGAAAAACGATCAATTGTTTTTCGATGTAAGACAGGAAATGACCAAAGAAGAGACTATCGTAATGTGAAACATTTGAATGGTCAAGGATAAACAGGGAAAAAAATGATTCAATATTAATGCCAGAATTTATTATTATTATTACTTAAAGTTAAACCATGCTTTTCCCATAAGGCCCAAAGCCCTTACAGTGAATGAAAATCAGAATTACATAAATACATATAATAATAAAAACAGTCTTACAACTACAAACTGCAAAAAAGATGTGTTGTTAAAGCCTTTCTAAAGGTAATAAGTGATGGAGACTGCATAATTATAAGTGGTAGATCATTCCAGTACACATTAAAAGTGAAGCTATTAAACTTCTAGTATGCTTGCTTGCATGTGAGTGTTCATTAACTACCGGTAGTCTAATTGTTGCTTTAACCTATTAAAATAAGTTACAAGTACTAGCATGATCATGATCCTATGATATTGATTAGTGGGAAATACATAATTAAGCATCTTTTTTTCTATTGACTTGCAGTATGATGGGCTTAATAGCATTATTTTTTTTTCAAGTTTCAAGTTTCAAGTTTATTTATCTTTCTTTCATAACACACATTATAAATATGACATGAATATAAAGGAGTGAACAGAATATGGCGTTACAATAGAAAGATGAGGTGACCTTGGTTGAAAGCAAGGCTTGTGGATTTAAGGTCCCTCATGAGTAGTTTAAGAGTATGTCCTAAAAGAACAAACTCGTCAAATAAAAAAATTAAAAATTCGTACATTTAAATGCTTACAAAACTAAACTAACTAAACAACTGAGAAAATATTAAAATTATATTGCACCTAACCCGTCATTCACAAATCATGATGGCCTTTCAAACTTTTTTTGTTTGCAATGGTAGGAAGCGACTAGAGCTGATGAGAGAGATGTATGACAATGCTGCTGATGCCACACCTACTAGCCCAGATGGTAACATGGGCTTTGAGAACAGCGGCACATGCAGGGATCCGTTCTACGATCGGTTCCCATGGTTCCGTCTAGTTGGAAGGTATGTACATGTATTGCCCTGTCTGTATGTATGTTTGTGTGTCTGTGAGTTTGTCTGTGAACACAATTTTTTTTCTTCCAACTTTCAAAATATTTTAGATTTGATCACTGAAGTAATTGATATCACTGCTAATAATGTGGATGGTGTTCTGACTGAAAGGTATCTTATAGATATACATGAAATCAAACAACAGTATACCCATGGAATGTGTTTTCTTCAAATTGTAATCATTTGATAGGCACATAATGATGGGTTTGTAGACAATTAGTAGAGATCTAATTCAAATTGTATTTCAATTGACTGTCGGTCATATTGAGATTTAATTTTATTCTGTATTTCATGTTGTAGACTTGAATGCATACCATTCGCTCTTTAGTATTAAGTTCATTGTACAGTCAAACCTGCTTTAGTGATTACCTGTCTACAAAGACCACATTTCTTGTTTCCCTTGAAAATTGTTTCTCATAGAAACATGCACTGAAGGAACCTGTCTACGAAGACCATGCACTTGTCCACAAAGACCACTTTTTGTCTTTCCCTTGGGTGGTCGCTATAGACAGGTTTGACTGTACATTCATAACATACACTCTTTACATTCAGGTCCTTTGTGTACATGAGCAATCTGCTCTACCCCGTTCCTCTGGTCCATCGGGTTGCCATCGTCAACGAGAAGGGAGATGTCAAAGGTTATCTCCGCATCGCTGTCCAGCACGTCCTACCGGACGATGAAACTCCAGACTATGGGTCGGGGGTCAGACAGTCAGGCATGGCCAAGATACAGTTCAATGATGATGAATACTTCAACAGGAAGGTGGGTAGAGGAGGAGGAGGAGGACAGTATTGGTGGTTGTGATGATGATGGTGATGATGACATACTCATGTCATTGGTGACAATGGTGATGTTAATGATGATGACAGTGATGATATGAATAATGGTGGTGATAGGGTTGGTGATTGGGATGTGGATGAAAATATATGTTGGTTTGTTGTTGAGGATGAGGCTGGTACTTTGGGTTAGGATGATAGTGAAGGTTAGAGTGTGGGTAAGAGTAGGTAGGGGGTCATGTGGAGGGTGAGGTGGACGTAAGGATGAGTGTGAAGGCTGAGGTAAGGATGAGTGTGAGGGTGGGTTTAAGGATGTGTGTGAGGGTGAGGGTGGGGTTAAGGATGTGTGTGAGGGTGAGGGTAGGTTAATGATGAGTGTGAGGGTGAGGGTGGGGTTAAGGATGTGTGTGAGGGTGAGGGTGGGGTTAAGGATGTGTGTGAGGGTGAGGGTGGGGTTAAGGATGAGTGTGAGGGTGAGGGTGTGGTAAAGGATGAGTGTGAGGGTGAGGGTGTGGTAAAGGATGAGTGTGAGGGTGAGGGTGTGGTAAAGGATGAGTGTGAGGGTGAGGGTGGGGTGAAGGAAGAGTGTGAGGGTGAGGGTGTGGTAAAGGATGAGTGTGAGGGTGAGGGTGGGGTGAAGGAAGAGTGTGAGGGTGAGGGTGTGGTAAAGGATGCGTATATTAGGGAGTGGGTGGGGTTAAGAATGTGTATGAGGGAGTGGGTGGGGTGAAGGATGAGTGTGAGGGTGGGGTTAAGGATGCGTTTGAGGCTGGGGTCAAGGATGTGTGTGAGGGTGGGGTTAAGGATGTGTGTGAGGGTGGGGTTAAGGATGAATGTGAGGGTGGGGTTAAGGATTAGTGTGAGGGTGAGGGTGCGGTAAAGGATGAGTATATTAGGGAGTGGGTGGGGTTAGGAATGTGTATGAGGGAGTGGGTAGGGTGAAGGATGAGTGTGAGGGTGGGGTTAAGGATGCGTTTGAGGCTGGGGTCAAGGATGCGTATGAGGGCGGGGTGAAGGATGAGGGTGATGGTGGGGATAAGGCTGAGAATGAGAGTGGGGTTAAGGCTGAGTGGGGATGATGATGACGTGGGCGAGGGAGAGACATGAAGTGCCGTTTCTATGTTTCTATTGGAAGCCTTTATTGTGATGATGATAATGATCGTTATGTTGATAGTGATTATGGGGACATTGGGACCTCTAAAAACGATTTTCTATTGAAATTTGGATGAAATATATTTGATAAATTTTCTTTCACAACTGTTATTTGCCATGCTAAATTTAATTATTTTGGAGTCTTCTTCTATCCATGTAAATACAATTCCTGTATTAATGTTCTTTGTATTTATTTCAGCTGAAAAGAAATACATCCGGCATCAACAAGGCAATCTGCCGTTCCAACATGTCAGAGGAGAATGTGCGTATCGTTGAAGGGCACAGAGAAAACTCAGACATGGGTACGATATGAATATTTTTTCTTTATTATTGGTTTGTTTGTTTCATTTTATTTCTACATTTGTCAACATAATAAAAAGTAATATATGAACTAGGTACATCAACTTCTAAGTGTAACAAATGCTTTGGAATACAGTGTCTGATCCATTAGTTTTTTTCAGTAAAATGTATGCAGTTCTTTGTATACGAAAGTGGAAAGCAATAATCAACTAGTTTTATTTTTTACATTAGCTTAGAAGAACTAAGTTCATTTTTACATATTTTGTGATAAACATTCTAGAATACATGTATTTACATGTAGTTAATAGTGATGACATTAGTACACTGTATGAAAATGATGTATCCTTTATGTGTTGCACATAACACATTGAATGAATATCTCTATCAGCTTTCAGAGTGACTAGATTGAAGTTTTCAGAATAAGACATTTTGCTTAATAATATGCCTTCTCCATTTGTCTTATTATTTTTCTATACCAGTACTTTTTTTTTTTCTTCTTAGAATTGGATGAGAAGTGCCATGACATTGAAGCCATGAGCACCACCGAATCTATGACATCTCTCTCTACTCTTGATGCCTGTGATGCAGACCATCTCAAGATAGGGTCAAACTTTACCTTCCGGGTCACGGTGCTACAGGCTTCTGGGATATCCACCGAGTACTCAGACATCTTCTGCCAGTTCAAGTGAGCACTTAATGTCCCACCCCTTCCCCAGAATCATTTTCATAACTCTTTCAGTACGTTCCTTGGTTTTGGGGCTTGGGATATGGTTGTGTTCTTTTTTGATTTTCAAGTGAAAATACAAATCATTGATTATCTTATTTTTATAACTTTTATTCATTATACCCTCGAAACGACCTCAGAATATATTTAAATCAAGGATTGCATGAATCGGTTAACTCCCTTTCAATCAATTCGATAGGGTTTTCATTTATATTTCTCGATTAAATATTACTCTATGCACCATTCACATGAATATGTGCTGGAGATATTATCTTTCATGAAAATATTGATAATTATACCTCGTGATGTTTGAATGGTATTAAAAAAGAAAGAATAGAACTAGGCAGGAAATATTGTACTCTGTCTACAAGACTCATATGCAAAATTTGCAAAAAGGCAGTTTCATTGGCATTTATTTGATAAGAAACAATAAGGCAACCTTTATCTTTGATACCGGTATGCACATGTACTTACTTTTCATCTTGAATAGATTTAAACTTTGAAATTGAAATGTCATTTTCCATCATCATGTTTCTTTCACAATAAATGTATTTCATCATGCCATGCCTTTATAAGATTCCTACACGGAAAGGACGAGGCATTTTCCACCGAACCTCTCAAAAACTCAGGCAGCGGTTGCCTAGGTTACTTTCATACGCAGAATGTGAGTCGAGCATCTTCAGACAAACCCCGCCACCATCACCATGGCAACTCAATAAGCTCCATGCATTGCGACGCAGGCCTATGAAATTTTTTTGTTTGTCTTGTGCTATTTGAGCTCTCATTTCTCTCTTTTTGATGCTTATGAAGAAACGGAATAATCATGAAGGAAATAAATTCTTAAACCTTATGATAGCAAAATAAATATGCCTATTAATCTTTTTTTTTGTTTAGTTTCTTTCATTAAAAATTATTTTTTTATTCCAAGAGAAAAAAACAACAATATTTATTTGCAGATTGAAAAAGAATGTTTTGGAATGATTGAACCTTTACTACTTGTTTGATTTTTAATTTCAATCTTGTTTGAAATTTTGATATTGTGGTGGACTCTTTGAGTAAAAGCCACTTTCCTTTTTTTTTTTTTAAAGACAGAAAGTATTCGATAATGTCACTTGAATCAAGGTTAGAATGGTTTTAAGAAAAGTCACATAAGCATCATTGAACAGAGATGAGAGCAATTATATTTTTATGCATTTTGCTTTGATTTTATCTATAATTTCCTTATATAAAAAAATTTGAATCCAGATTTATTTTGTCCACAGCTACATCAAAGCATTTGATTGGCGATAGATGTATGCAGATCGATTGGACATGTCACATGCATTTTGCTCACAATACTGATATTACGTCACCACCTTGCTTGTATTTTGCTCCCGAAATTTCCATGAATCAAATTTATGCCAAGTGCTCCCTCAAAACTTCTTACTGTATTTTTCTGGGAGTTATAGGGCTGATGATATAGAGAAGCTTAATTATGCAATTGGCAAACTCTATTTTCTCTTGCTTATGAGACACTTTCTGGAAGAGAGAATATAAACTTTATATCCTTGCAAAAATGCCCTCAGTTGTTTAAAAGATATTAACTTTTAGCAAATGTCTAAAATCTTTTTGTGAATGAGAGATTTTAATTCCTTTCAAGAAATTCCTTTCAACTAACATATGTTGGAACCTATAAGTACTCAAAATACATGCAAGGTTGTGGTGAAAAATTATTTATTTCTTTCATTTCTCTTCAACATTTTGCATATTGCTATATTTTCTTCAAAAGCATCAAATTTCAAAATTTCAGTTTCATTTTGTGCCTGATATTATTTCTTTCAGCAGAGTGGCATTTCACTTCGTTTTCGCTTCTTTTTGAAAAGTTTTTGAGCAAAAGATTGATTTTGTATTCTTTTCAAACATTCTGTTTTCGCTCGCTATACAGCTTGCTTCACGGTCAGGGGGCGTTCGTCACTCAGTCGGTTGAAAACCACAGTCACTATTCGGGACAGTCAGGAATGCCCCTCGGCTTTTACTTTGTTCAAGATGTAAGTTGGGTTTTACATTTACGTTCAGTTGCGAGAGCCGTTCACGCCGTTTGTGGCTTTTCCCCCGATATTTACAGTTTTGCAGCTGCTTGGTTGATTTGTCCATATATGCAAATAGCTTTTTCCATTTGCAAATAATTTTTACTTTGAAATAATATGTGCAAAATATCTGTTTTCTTGAGTTAAAAACAGCTGGAATTTGATCTTTTGTCTGAAAAAAATAAACCAAAAGAATTTTTTTTGTGAATAGGATTTAGGTGCAATTTTATATCTTTATTTTACTGTTTAATTTTTCTGTCATAATCTTCCATGATATTTTGTAAAGATTTAATGGGTTCTGTGCACATATTTATTCAGCAAAGATTTAAATTACAACTTTGCATCCCATATACAGTATGTATTAACAAATGTAAGGGAAATAACTGAAACAAAGGGATTTCTTCAACTTAAAAACTTCTTGGTTGACCATTCCCATTCTGTTTTAAATGAACATACCTTCAGCTACATGAAGGATTTGCAAAGTGGATGATTGTGTAAAAAAACATAATATCAGATTAACTTGACTTTCTGGGATAAGAAAATGAGTACTGATTATTATCTTTTACTCCACATTCTTTCTCTTTGGATAGCAAACTCAATTTGTAACTAAAATTGATATCTCAAACACTAAATTTATTCAGATTTAGACTATAGATGTAAAGGGGGAGGGGTGGAAGGAAAAATGTTTTTCAATCAAAGACTGTTTTCTGTTTTCTTTTTTTTTTTTTAATTTTGAATTTCATTCTGTCATTGCTGCACTGCATATATCTGCATGCTTGCATGCTCACCCATGCACACTTATCATCACTATATATATTCAAAAGTTTTAAGAATTTATTGATATATGTACAATGTATGTGATTAAGTATGATTAAGATATTGAAATCGTAAGTTATAATTATCAAAGACATGGACATTTAAGAAGACAAAGTACATTCATTTATTTACTACCTAGAAGAATCATTGCTTGCCATGCCTGAAAGTTTAAGGTTTCATTAAAAAAAAATGGACAGCCCTGTGTTCTACTCAAAAGCATCTAAAGTTTCTAGAATTAAATGGATTCTATGACACATGCTTCTAATGCTATTCTGACAATTTCAAACTCCTAGTGAATTCCTAACCTCAAACTTGAGCCAGCACCATACCTAAAGCTAACCCTAAGCCTAAACCTAAACCTAAACCTAACCTAAGTATCAGTTGCAATCCTAACCCAATATCTTTGATGGCATAAAGCACATATGAAGTCACCATTTCAGGAATAGGTTATCAATTTAAAAAGACTTCTCCAATATTCAAACCACATTGTCTATTATTTCTCTGATATGATTTTTCTATCCTTGGTACCCTTAGATATCGACCACAGTGACAAGGGCATTCATCGACTACCTGAGGACTTCACCCATCGTGTTTGAGGTGTTTGGTCACTACCAAGCTCATCCCCTTCACACGCAGAGCCAGACCACCACTAGGTGAGCTTGTAGTATGATGATGGTGATCAGAATAATGGTGGTGGTGATGATGATGATGATGATGATGATGATGATGATGATGATGATGATGATGATGATATTGGTGATGATGATGGTGATGATGGTGATGATGATGATGATGATGATAATTATAATGATTCTGATAAAAATCATGATGTGAATGATGATGACTCTAGCACAGCACCATATGGCACCATATGGCACCATAAGGCCTAAAAAACATGGTCCGATCGGTCAGAATTTTTTTTCTTCTTCCTTTACTCCCTCTTTGGGCTGATATTTCTCATTTTTTAATGCTTTAATACATATTTTTTCTGATAAATTGTTTTTTTTTAAACTCTTTAAAAAAAGCTGACCCTAGATTTCAAGTTTTTTGGGTCGGTAGCAAAGGGCAATAAAAGATCTTTTTTGTTTAGGCCTAACTGAGGTACTACCTGTTCGCTATACACATAGAGTCAGAGCACCACATCTAATGTTTGGTATACCAAAAGCTAATCAATTCACATCCAACAGGATAAGAGAAAGAAACAGAATTCAGTTGAAATGCTACTTGTACTTTTAGATGATTACTTACTTTTTAAATCATTTCTATATTGATGATATTTAAACCTACAATGTATTCACAATATCAAGGGAGAATATGAAACAGGAGGCTACAGTGAATTGAAGCAGGTGGCCTCAAAACGCAGAACTTGTAGAGTCATTTGTTATAGTTATTGATAGGGATCAACAAACCCCGGAGAGGACCTAAAGCCGATGGTCCTCTGGTTTCTCACTAACAAGCATTTATGCTTATTTAGCAGTCATGTAAAATAACAACCACTTAACCTGTCGTTGGTGACAATGCGTTCATGGACTTTTGTTCTTTTTACTCTCAACTTTCTTTCAATGCTAATTATTTTCAAATGTTTATTTTGTTACGTTCTTTTTTCTCCCTTTCTTTGAATTCCTTCAGATTGAGGCCACTCAAGAGGGGTTTCCCATGCACACTACCCATGGCTACACCAGGTAACTACATCAACATCGATTTCTTTCCTCCTCCACATTTTGATTATTGATTATTGAAAAGTGTTGATTGATTAAAGGAGGTACATTTAATTTTGGGGAGATATAACCAATCATAAAATTCTGTGTTACAGGGCCTAGGTGACGGTTAGCAAGCATAGCCACTTCTGTCTGTGTCTTTTTTAATCTTTAACACTACGAAAACAGATTTTTTTTTTAAATGTTGAATATTCCTTTCTTCTTCCCTCTCACGTTGCAGTTCCGTCCCCTAGGATGGGCCTGATCAGTACACCATGCACCAGCCATCTCCATTCCAAGCACGATCTTCTCGTCTACTTTGACATCTGTGAGCTGGCACCGTCTGGAGAGTAAGTTCATTCCTTTGGACCACTGGGCCTGTTTTCATCAGCTCGAGATATATCCCGTTCGCAAATTATCCAGTTAATTTGCATCTTCATCAGCCCAAAGTTTCAATTAGCGGTATATTTGGTCGAGATAATCATCCCAAGATATCTTGGGCTAGTTGGCAAAATATCCCACTATTTGTCCGGTGAGTCTTCACCAGCTCGAAGACTCACACTATCCGCGAACGCTGAGAAAAATATCTTGAGCTAATTTCTTGAGCTCAAGTTTCAAGTTTCGAGGTCAAGTCTCGAGCTGATGATGACGGGATTTGTAACTTCGGGATTAGTTCCCAAATCAGAAATAGCGAGCTATTTGGCAATCTCGAGCTGAAGAAGACAGGCCTACTGAATTCCTTCAATCCCCTAGGCTTGATACAGAAACTACTGGATTCTCATGGGCAGTGGGTTGACTATAGCAGTTCCAGAAGATCTCAGTGGTCAGACATGCACCAAGGAAAAAGGAATGATACTTGTTGGCCTCTTTCAGAAACTCTAAAGGTTGTACATATATGCAGAAAGCAAATAATTACAGACTACTCTGTTGATAATAATAATAATAATATTCTGCTTAAATAGCACTTAATACAAATGTCCCTTAGCGCTTTACAGATATACTATTACCCTGGTCATTGGATTCATTACTTGCCTGCACACACTGTGTGCACAATCTCCACTCCCTGGGGAGCATTCCAGCCAGGCGTTGGGTTACGTGATGGGACAAACTATTATTGAAGAGGTGATCTCGAGCTATAATCGAGCTATGATCTTCCCAAGCTGAAGGTGAGGGAAGTTGGTATAGCCTTCAAGATCACCCGAGTCAATAAACATGTGGCTGTAGTAGGGTCGTTTCCCTTCTCAAGTCATGTACATAATACTAATGTCCTTTAGCAAGGCATTAATCTACATTTGTCACTCCATACCCAGGAGACAAATGAGGACATTGTGCATGATTGAATCCGATGACCGGGGTAATAATATCTGTAAAGCGTTCAGAGACGGTATTCCGATATAAATCCAAATTACTACTATTATTATCATAATAAAGAATGAGTGTGATATTACAGACTTAATACTAAACTTGACTCTTATTATCTTTACAGGTACCTGTCATCGTATGTAGATCACTCTGAAGACATGCCTTGTAGTGGAGTCTTCCTCCTACATCAAGGTATCCAGAGAAGAATAGCCATCACCATCATCCATGAAGCCACCGACGAGCTCTTGTGGAAGGACGTCAGGGAACTGGTTGTAGGTGAGTTCATAAGAGCCTTTGAATTCAAATGATTTTTTTTTCTCATGCAAAACATAATACAATGAATAAGTACATTACCAAAAAAATATACAATGAAACAACAAATGTCATAGAAAAGCACAAGAAAAGAGGAACTAACTAGATGCAAAGCTTGTTGAAGTGTTAGTTCCTCAGATGCTGTTTCACAATATATCTTGAACAAAGTATACTTAGAAAATCAATAAATCAAAAAATATATTGAATCTTTGAATCTGTTACAGGGCAATCCAACCTTTGAAATGAGTTCATTTGTATGAAAGTAGAAAAGTAAGAGAAACAAAATGTTCAAGTTTGTAATAAATCTGAGCATTAATAAAGAGTTCAAGTTCAAGTTTTATTTGTTCCACATTTTACAAAAAATATAGACAAACATATAAGATAGAAAATTATACAATACATGTAGTATACATGTATATGAGCACGTCTCAATGATTCTCAAATTCATATAATAGATTAAGTAGAATGTGAGGAACCTATTAAAAAGCAGTGCTTGTATGTTTTAGGTTCCTGGTAAAATAAACATTGTTTGAAATATGAAATCATTTACCTATGTGCAAATCTTAATTTGTGCCTGCCACATACAAAACTCCATTTCATATACATGTAATACCATGTTCTCATGTTTCCTTGTGTGCAGGGCGTATTCGTACCACTTTGGAAGTGACTGAGCCGGATGATGAGATGACAGTTCTATCTCTAAACCTTCTACCAGTCAGCCATACAACTGTACCAGGAGATGACAGGTATCAATAACTCCAAAGAAAGATCACTACTTAGTTTAAAGCAGATTTTACTGGTCAAACTGGCAACAGTCATGTTTTCTCTCAACTCCACTCTTCTAGTAAATATAATCTACATGTATACTATATAATATATAACCGATATATATGTTTATATGGATACATTTATAACTGCAAGAACATGCAAATAGTATTTTGTTAAGGAAGTGTATACATGGTAACATGTGTTGCCAATTTGAAGATAGAGATTATAATTTGTTGGTACAGTAAAACAAATGTGCATAGTTTTTGTTTGTTTTTAGTTTTTTTGTTTAAGAGTACTGTAAGTTAGCATTCTAACTCAACACTCAATTAGCTATGAATATATATGTTTTATAATTTATTCATGTTTACATCACGCTAAATTCTCTAATCACTCTTATTTATCCAGAACCTGTTTCCGGTTTGAGGCAGCATGGGATAGTTCCCTTCACAACTCAGTGCTCCTGAACCGAGTCACTCCCTACGGTGAGATGGTCTATCTCACCCTCTCAGGCTACCTTGAGGTGAGTCAACGTTCCTTCTTCTCTGACTTGTAACAAGCATCTCTTATCCTCCACTATTAGATCTTAATGCCACCACAAACAAATATTAATATCAATATAAAAATAGAAATCACATGGTACATGTGTATGTAGGTCTCAGAATGTTGTCGCTCCATGGCTGAGGTCCTAGAGGAGGAGAGCAGAATCTCCCTCTCCCGTGCTTATAAATACATGGTAGTAGTCTTTTTCAGGTTTAAGTGTAGTAGTTGCTTTGTGCAAGTACATTTAAATGTACATTTTAGAGGAAGAGGTGTTTTTAGACATGTTACATTATGTCTATTAGTGGTACAGTCAACCTGCTTTAGCAACCACCTGTATAGAAAGACCACCTGTCTACAGAGACCACGTTTTTTGTTTCCCTTGAAAATAGTTTCTCATTGAATCATGTACTAAAGGACCCTGTCTACAAAGACCACTTTTTGTGTTTCCCTTGTGCGGTCTCTATAGACAGGTTTCACTGTATAAACATTTGAGATGTTGCCTATTTCTTGTCGTGTAGCTGGAGAACTGTGCCCAGTCAGCCTGTATCACCAAGGATATATGCCTTCAGATGTATGAGAGAGACGCTCGCATTAGCCCCTCACGCTCTCTCCGTAGCCTCTTTGGAAGCAGCTTCTACAAGCCATCAGACAGGTATGTATTTGTTTTAATTTTTTATTTATTTATTTATGTATGTTCACAATTCATTGGAGTTAACATCACATGAAGAGTATACTATAGCAAATTATTTTCAATTTTACAATCCATTTGAATTGACTTCATGTGAAAAAGAATATAGCAATGTTTTATCAAAGACAAGTTGCAACTAATATGCAGTTTAAAAAATGAACACACAAAGGTGATGAAACATAAGCAAATAGAGCTTGAATCGTTACAACACCTTTCAAATACATAATATATAACAAATAAAATTCCTAAAGGTCTGTAGTGAACTATTTACACTATTTACAAAGAACAAGCAGGAAAAAAAAGTCTAGTAAAAAATTATGTTTGATATAATGAGAACTGATATATGTATGATAATGGTATTGCAGCATGCAGGATTATGCATACTCCTCCAATTTTGATAGTGAATGGCTAAGATTTGGGAGAGTTTCATGCGAAAAAGAGAATGAATCACAGCAATACAACACTGAATTTTTGCAATTTACGAAAGTTTCTTGTCATGAAACATGCTGATGTATACAATTTGCCAAAAAATAAATGTTGGGAAATATTCTGGTATTACAGTATGAAACTTCGTCAAGCCAAATGTGTTTTATGCACACAATTTTTTTAATTAGATCCGGTGTTGTGAAGATTTCTTTACATACATCTTTGAAATTCTAGCATCAAAAATCTAAAGCAGATACATTTGAATGGTATGGGTAAAGTAAAAGAAATTGACATGACCTTTTATTAGAGGATGATAAATCTAGGGCATGGACAAATAAAATCTGATTTGAATACAGGAGCTTCACCTACCTATATGCTTGCTCTCTCTCTCAATCGTTATTGTTCATTTCATTTTGTTACCATAGCAACAGCATCACTGGAGTTTATGAGATCTCTCTCTTGAGGTCTGCCGAGGCTCTCAGTCCAGGTAAGGTTTCCTAAGGTATCCTGACCTTGCATCTTCCTTCTCCTTCCTGAGTTGGAGATTTTCATGGTTAAATGGGCATACATTGACCAACAAGTGCATCTTCGGTTGCTCCAACATAAGCTCCATGTCTTTTTTTTTGTCAAAGAGATAGGATTAGGATCAGGCCATTGGGAATTTGGTTAGCGGGTGAAGTCAGGTTTATTTTTTGGTTTATGGTTGAAATTAAGAATATGGTTAGTATAGGATATCAACTGCTGAGCAATTGATGCTAGAGCATGTGTCATTATGACCTATGTTTCATAAAAGGAGGCATTTTAAACACTGCAAAATTTGCATAGATACATGTACTAGCAAAATGGGCTATTTAATGTCTTTTTCATTTTATTATCAAAGAATGCATGAAATATTAAAGTGCATCTGTGACAATTTCTAGATTAAATATATATATCATCTTTTGAAGAATTCATGAATTTGAAATATTGGGTCAATCTCACAGATGAGAAGAATTGTTTTAATCTCGATGTCCGAATGGTTAATATGCACCATGGGAATAATTATGAATGAAAAGAAAAATATTGCCATTTTGTATTGAATTCAGGGTGAAAGGGTCTTTGTCATAACTAAAGCTAACATTGTTCAAATAACAATTCTTTATTTTTTTTGTATTGTCTTGCAATCCAAAATGAGGTTGCACTGTTATAGATTTTCTATTTGAAAGACTTAACTCAGCATGATATGTACTGTATGGCACATAATTGAGACAGAGACTAAAAGAGCTTGCTTGTTTGAATTTGAAAGAGGGAAGCATCTTGTTTTCTAAGATTAAAAACACTAAACTCAAGTTTGAATTTATTGCAATTGCACAATTAATCTCTAACATCCCATGATAACTGCATGTTCCTATTAAAAACATTTAATATTTGTGAAAGAAATGAAAGAATGTTTAATTCAAATAAGATTTATTATAGCTGTAATACATGTACATGAAGGTGCATTATGTTTTTTATCTGTGATTACGGTGTACACATTATCTGAGCTATTGATGGGAAATATTACTGTATTCTTATTGGATTGTGGCACATTATTATCAACTTTACTTTTGAATAACTATTAACTTGTCATGAAAATACCTTTTTATTAAATACCCGTAGTTTTGATATGGATTTTAACCCCAAAAGCTTAGATGTATAATTAAAGACTATTGTTCAAATTATGCTACTAAACTTCACTGCCTTGAATATTTATCTGAACTTCCATCAGTTCATTACGTTTTCAAAATTCTCTTCAAAATGTTTAAGGATATCATTATTTGTTTCAAATTGATATTAACTTTTATCATTAGTCTTTACTGCACTGTTATCCTTTGCAATATATTTCAAAATTATTAACTAATATTATTATTGAATTTAATTTGCAATCCTGCAAAGAGGTATTTTTACTCTTTTTTTATAGCACTACTGATCTTATTCTATTCACCCTTGCAATATTATATTAAATTTTCCACCCTGCATTTCATGTCTCATAATTTACTTTAAAAGATACTCTGCTAGAGAAAAATTGCTTTAAAACAGTGTATTTATTTTAGATATTGATAAATTTATCTAAAATGAATTTCAATTACTAGTTTTACATGATAGAAAAGAGCCAAACTTTTCTACCACAATTTTTAAATATACAGTGTTTATTAAATTTTTAACAAAAATATTCACCTATTGGGTTTACATGATAGAGTAAGGGTGAAATACCCTCTTTTAATGTATTTTTTGTTCAAACGTGGATTAAATTTGCTCATGAATTTTCACCACGTTGCCATGCAGACATGTGGCAGTGGATAACTTGGGGAAGAAATGGTATGACATGACAGTTTAATCTTCCTCTTTAATAGCCTCCTCTTGGAATTAATGAACCCATCTAGAATTGAGACTGCACTCAGCCTAGGCATGCAACTTCTAGGAATGGGCGTGTCCAAATATCTTCCAAGGGCGTGGTCAAAGCTTTCACGGATCAACAAAATATAAATATTTTTCGTATCAAAGTCAATCCTTGAGTTTGAATGACTTGTGGAATGTAGCACAAACTTTTACTCCATTTCTTTGGTTGAATCTTCATACAGACCAATACACTTTTGCTGTAATTGCAAAATCTTTTAAGAAGGTGTGTTTGAAAAAAATCATAGGTTCCTTTCTTTGTATTCTGAAAAATACTTGAATATTTAGCCCGATCATAATTTTATAAAATGCAGATGAATGCAGATAAGATATTGTGGCAGAAAAACACCTTGATAAAAAGAGACAAGTGTCAATGTTAAATTTAGGAATAAATAAGTTTGAGAATTCGAAAATACATGCAATTTAGATTAAATGACAGCCCAAAATCAGAACATTTTAAAAAGATGTCACGTTCTTGTTGCTTAAATGACAAGAGGCACCAAATTTAGTCCAAAAAAAACAAAGCATCTATGACTTATTATCAATTGATTATCAATTGATTATCAATCGATTGCCTATTTACTGCTTAGCATATAATGGCTTTCCTTTTATACAATCATTTGATATATAAAATGTAGATTGTTCTAATGATAAACTTAGATACTTGGAGAAGATATATCTAGGATATATTTTGGGTCACAGTACGATAAAGTTTTACTCTTATCAGTAAAAAATGAAAAGATATTTGGACATACCCCATTCCTATGCTCCAAAACACATTTCATCCTGTCCTCGTAGATGCCCTTGTTACCATAGAAACGATTGACATCTCTCGAGATGGGTTGATTAAGAACGACTTTCTTCCTTCCATTGTTATTTCTTCATCCACCATTCATAGATCTCTTGTTTCTTTAGACACATCCATTTCCCCCTCTCATTGTCTGTCAAACCAATTTTTTGTCACAATTTTCCCCCTTTATATTTTGGGCTGATGTCTATTAATGTGATTTGTATTTTATATTTATGTTGTTTTTCTTTAACACCGAGATATTCATTGAAAAATATTTTTAAAAATTAGTATTTATGGAATGTTCTTGTTTTGTCGTGTATGACAGGCACTCGCTTAGCGTCAGATTTTGAAGGTATTTTTGCCTGCTACATTTTTGCCAGAATGTCCTCCATTTTTTCGCTGTCCTAGAGAATCCATCGTCACTTAGTTTATCATCACTTGAAAACTGTGATGAAAACTAAACTTCACATCGTCTCTTTCAAATTGCAACAGAAAAATGTTCAGATTTTGTTTCCTCACAAGAGAACTGAATTCCTTCTGGTAGAAATTCATTCATTGATGAATATCAGCTTCTCGGAGGTTCAGTACAAGTACTACTCCTTTCCTTTAAAAACGTTATTATTATTTGGGATAGCTAACAAGAGAAATGGGGATAATTGGTGTGTGAAAAGGAAAATACTGTTTGGCTGGACTAAATTGCAACTTTTTAAAAAAATGTACAAAAAGTACAGATTTGATTGAAATTTATTGAAATATTATTATTTTGGGGATGAAGTTGCCAGAGGCTGATAGAAAAAGTTGATGAATTGGACTCGAGGACAGTGGATTAAGTGATAATATTTGTGATATTTATTACAAAAGTGGCTTATTATTGGTCTTTTATTGCTGTATCAACATTGGACCAGTCAATCTCATACATTTGTCTTCTTTTTCTCTCCATCATTTCTTTTTAATACTCTTCCTTTTCGTTACCTCATATGCTTTTATCTATTCTTTTCAATGTTAATTTAACCCGTTTATGTTGCTGACCCATCATTTAAACACAAAATGATATTAATTTCATGATTCATATTTTATTTAAATTCTGATTCATTTGGATATATTCTGTTTTTGTTTTTTATTGGTTTTGTGTCGTTAAAATCCATTTGATGACAAAAACACACTGAATCCCCTTTTGGCAGGCAAGTCATTCAGTCAATATGATCTGCGGGATTTATTGGAGTCCACCTCCCCTCACCATCACATGACCTTGTCCCCTCCTAACATGAGTGGTAAGATCCAAGTCCATGCTAGTCTTCTGCTTCCAGACCCTCACTCTTCAATGTGTTTTTCTGTTACGTGTCACATAGCTCTTTATTCTTATAAATCGCTTTCTTGTTTGTACCAGACTTTCCTGCAAGATTTCAATAGATATTCCAATATATGGATGCAAATTTGTTTGGTATGGTATATATTTGTATATTCCTTTATTTTCTGTCCATTTCCGTCTCCTTTTCAAAGTAAACTTGTATTTAGCAAAAATCTTATACAAAGATTTAAAATAATTTTGTAATGTGTGACTCATGATTCTTCATATGCATGACAAAATAGAAAGATGAGTGACATCACAATTAAGGTATAAACTCAAATAATTTTCATAATAAGTTATTACACCTTGAACAAATTCAAGGAGTTTATTGCGGTAAATGATTCAACAATATTTAAAGTCAAAATGGACAAAGGCAATTTTAGAGAGAATTTTTTTTACCTTCTTCTTGTGTAAGAAAAAAACACTCAAAAGTAGAATTTCAGCAAAGAAAGCAATCAAAATGTTTAGTAAAAATAAAAATGTTTGCGTACATTCATCCAGAACTCGCTACAGTATACAAGTTGGTTTTAGTTTCATGTTTCTATTTTCTGTGACACTCACTGTTTATTTTAAGATTTCTCACTTAGCAAGTCATTCTCCTTCTACAAAAGCACCAAACTATGAAGTAATATTTATTATTTTTTTTATATTTTTTTTATTTTATTTTATTTTTTTTTTTTTTGGGGGGGGGGGGGGGTCTTTTATTTTTGTTCTTCTTCAATTACTTTCGTGTTTATCTACCGTGTAAATGACAAAATGTTTGCACTAAGTATGTAAATATTAGTGGTGTTTTAAAAACATAAATTATTCTTGTTCAAATATATATTTTTAATGAAGCCATCGGAATAGTCAGGGGTGGACTGTATTTATTCCAGCTTTGGAATACTGTTGAGATTTCCTGACTTCGTTTTTTTTTTTCCTGCAAATATATATTTATTTCTTTTATTTCAAACTAGTTTTATCTGAAAGATATCTCTATGATTTTTTTTCTTTCTGTTAAACCATTGCTACGTTTTGGTAATGATTAAAAAAAAAAAACTCTTTTTGTTTATTTCTGATAGACATTTTCTTTTTTCCTTTTCTCTGCTTATCTTTTTTTATCTGTTGAGCTTATTTTCCTTTCCTTCCCTTTCCTTTTCTTGCAAGATTGCAATCTGCAGTATCTTAATGAATTAGATTTGCCTTCTTTATCTCTGTCTATTTCTCTGAGTTACTTTGTTCTTTTGTAATTTTCTTCTGATATTTGGCTCATTTGTTTTTAAAATTCTTCTTGCTTTTTCTCTCCTCATCATTTTTTTCTTTTCTTTTCTTTTGTCATCATCTTCTATTTTGATCTGCTCCTCTCTCCTTAGTTCCTTTGATCTGTTTTAGCTTTCTTTTAGTAGTTCCTTTCCTATTTCCTCTCAATTCTTTCCGTTTCGATCCTCCACTGTGTTTCATAATTGTTTTCATACTCTTCCTATCGCTGTTCTAAATCTACCATTACATCTACTTTACCAATCATATTCCTTATTCTTTTATATCTATTTTCTATTTCTTCATGTGATCTGCTTTTAATATCTTTATGAAATCTCTTTCTTAAGTGATTTTTCTTGATACATTTCCTTATCTGCCTTTCCAACTTTTTCTACTTGTCTGTTCAGATTACTTTCTCCCTCTCTTATCATTTTTGCTTTCTTTTATTCTCTCTTCCCTCTCTCGCGGTTTCTCTATCAGTGTAAATTTGAAACTCTCAAACCTTTAGATAAGCATCTCATTTTAGCATGAAATTTCTCCAAGAAATCTCTCCAAAAATCAATTATCTACTGGTGATAATTAAAGTCCATGTAGATGCACTTAAACTTTTTGAACACATATAGTGCTTTTTATTTTATTTTCAATTTAGCAAATCATGTTCTTTTACTTTCTGCTTCTTTTTGTTCCCGTGCTTGATCTTGGACTGACTTAACGTAAGGGGAGGTGGACCTCCTACAGTGTCATTACATATCCCATTTAACTTCAGCAAATTATATAGGAAAAAAAATAATCAAAATGCACTTGACATATATGAAGTCCTACGACTTCTCTTTCCAACTTGCACATAAACTTTGAACTTTTTGAACTTTTAAGCTTGTAATTAATCAATTTTCCAGTTTCCAAATTCATATTTATATCTTTCTGACACATATGCATCTTGCTTCTTGATATGATTATCTATCTTGACTTCTAAAAGTCTTAATTGGTTGAGAAAATACAATGTACATTGCATCCCCACAATGACAATTAAGTTCATGAGATTGAGATTTGGTTCAGCACTATATTAAACTTTTAATTTTTGCAAGTTCACACTGTGACAAAACAAACACTAGTTAATCATAGCTTTAAACAAATCTTCATTTTCACTTGTCTAATGATTTGTAAGAGTTAGTACACAAAACACACTGTCATCATCATAGTCACCATGAACACCCCCCCCCCCTCCTCCCCTCCCCCTCCCAACGTCACAAATTTGCACACCACACAGTCACTGCACTTTTTTACTACAAATTTCACATGTTCACATATCTATTTTTTTTAAAAATCAATCTTTTGTAAGAGTTTTGTACAAGAAACACCTTGTATCTCATCATCACTGTCAGTGTGAACACCCCAAACCCTGTTCAACAACACACAATCGCATTCCCATGTGATTATGAACACACCCACATACATGTTGCTTTAAAGGTTTCAACATTGCTATGTCACTTGTTTCAACATTGTCATGTCTGCAGCTTATGTACGGTACACAATCATGGATGAAAACAAATGTATACAGCATAAATTATTGTCGACAATATGAGTCAAAGATGACTGGTATTATCGAAATATAGAACACTACATAGGCAAGAATTTTGCAAATAAATAATTTGGAAAGCTCAGTGAATACGGATCTCAAATACACGTACATGTTTTTGTTATCATTTAATGATATTTCTTGATTAAATCAAAATTGACCAAACTAACATTGCTGCTGCCATACTGATTAAAATTAAACACACAGATCTAGACATTGGATTTCTTCCAAGTTTATTAATTTCTTCCTGTTATTTTTTTCTACTGCATGGAAATTTTCCTCCTGCATTTTGTTTCAAATTTTCTAATGGCAGTGGCTGGCTGAATAAAGAACACTGTTCATGCATGAGTTTGTTATTCAATAAAGTTATCGGTAACCATGTTACATGCAGATAATGTTGATGGAGAGTTTAGAGGATATTTGTAACAATTTTTGATACAAACATACAATTCACTTGACTCTCCATTGATGAAATGCTCCAGTACAGTACATATTGAGGAGTCAGTGGCACAAAGACGTAACTTCATTTTGAGAAAAAGTGGTTTATGTGTCACTGAGCACTTAGGCCTTAAGGAGTTAATTCTATGTTCCACTAGCCATTGACTTCAATGGGGTGTTGGGTGGAGTTAAGTCTTTGTGTTTCCAAAGCCCACATTTTTCTGAACAGTTTGATATCAAATACTCATTTTGGCAAAATATGGAGTTACGTCTTTGTCACTGAACCCTCGTTATATGATTCATATTTTATTGATTGTGATGATCGATGAATGCAAGTAGATTATCTAGTTTTTATCTGCAACATGTGCATGTGCATGAGAATGTCAACTTGATTTGATTTAATATGTAATGTACTGTAAATGCATGCAAGAGGAATACCTAAATGTATATTGGTGCTTGAAGTTTGGTGTTAACTCAGGTGTTAGTGCTAAGTCTGAATTAACCTGAACCTTAATCTTGATATCAATTAAGGTGTTATTGTTAAGTTTGAATTAACCTAAACCTTAATCTTAATATCAATTAAGGTGTTAATGCTAAGTTTGGATTAACCTTAACCTTAATAATAATATTAATTAATATCAGCACCTTAATAAAAGATTGCACTTCTCATTGTCAGACTTTTACTGATGCATAATTTGGTACCATTTGAAGGAACAAGGTTAAATAATACATGTATCAGGAGGTATTTCCGTTGTAAAAAATGTCCAACTGCTTGAAGATTTTCTACAAAAACTTGTGGATGTGGTCTAGGTTTGGATACAATAATGTACAAACTAACACCTGTTTAACACATGATTTTAAGCACCAAGTATTGCATGCAATAATGTTTCTGTACACTATGCATTTTGTTTCAATTATTTTTCAGAAATTATGTATTATGTAAGGCAGGGTAGATAGACCATTTAAAAATATGTGTTTGCAGAATTCAAATGCACTCATGCTACCCAATGTTGATAATGCAAATGCTTTGTTAGAGCTTTGTTAGAGCTCCCCCAACATAGCATCCTTTAGTAATTTAATTGATTGATTGATGCCAGCAACACAGAGGCTTAAAATTAAAGCTAAAATTTCATGTTGGTACCCGAGCTTATGGACTCATTCTATCACTTAGATTACCAGGACTGCTTGGCTCAGAAAAAATTTATCCATGATTAATCACAATTTTTATACCATCTAAAATGGGTAACATATGCTCCATACATGTACATCATATATAAAAAATGGTCTATACACCTGATACACATACGTTTTATGAAGTAGAGATTTATAGTGATAATAAGCAAAATTATAACCCATCATCAAAGATAATTTATTCACATCTAAATCAGAATTTGTTACCTTAAACCCAAAATTAATGAAAATTTGATTTAAATAACAGGTCATTGGTCAGAGTTCATCAGTTATTTAGTAAAAAGCCAATAACTCATTTTCACCTCTTCTGATTGACCACCTATCTCCATGTACATGTACATGCTTGTATAAAAATGACTGAACCTGCTTTCCAAAAGGTTGCGTAAATGCGAAGATACAATTATAAACATTCTGTTCTACTAGCAAAGATGATTGACCTATCAACTTTTGAATTGGGTTCATTGCACTTTGCAGGCACTCAGAGAAGGATGAGGAAGGTGATTGACACATCCGGGACATACGTCCGAGGGGAGGAGAACCTGAAGGGATGGAGGCCCAGGGCCGACTCCCTCATCTTAGACCATCAGTGGGAGCTGGAGAAACTCAACAGATTAGAAGAGGTAAGGATTAATGCAGTGGTAGATTAAAGGGTGGGTGGGGAGGAGAACCTGAATGGATGGAGACCCAGGGCCCACTCCCTCATCTAATAGACCATCAGTGGGAGCTGGAGAATCTCAACAGATTAGAAGAGGTAGGGATTAATGCAGTGGTAGATTAAAGAGTGGGTGAGGAGTAGAACCTGAAGATTAGAAGAGGTATAGGGATTAACACATTGGTTGCTTTCTTTGTCTCTCTGTGTGGTTGCTTGTTTGCAACATATACAACTTTGCACAAAGCAATGGATATTAATTGATGCAAGAATTGCTTTTGGGGGCGACAAGATATGGCTCAGAAAAATTACCCTTGTCCCATCTTGATTAGCTCCCTTTTAACCAGTATTTTCAGTCCATGGTAAAAATTTATTTTATACATGTACATCATTGGTAACTTGAGGCAAATTTAATTTATTTCAGTATATTCTCCTTTCAAAATTCAAAGTATCTTTTTCTTCTGCTTTCGTATTTGTGTCCAGGTTGAGAAAGCGCGCCATTCGCTCCTCCTCCACGATAAGATCGCTCAGGAGCAGTACAACACTCGCAGCCTCTCCATGGAGTCTTCCGTCACCGGGGACAACGTAGCGGCCTCCAACATGACACAGTCCGACACGCTCTCATCCATGGACAGCGCCGTCTCTACGGACGAGGCGGCAGGAGGTGCGGCCAGCAACGAGCCCCTGAGGGGTCAGGAGCTGATCGCCAAGTGCCTCAGGCTACTGACGCAGAGCCAGCTACCCTTGCGTAGCCCACCGGCCGTGAAGGTATTAGATGGGATGTGGTTCAGTGTGTAACTTGTTTTGAAGGGGACGTGCATCATGCATATACCGGGTACACCGTCTGTAAATCGCTTTGAGAGGGCCTTCTGTCCTGAAAAGCGCTATATAAGAACTAGCTATTATTATTATTATTATTACATGAGACAAAGGTCGGCAGTCCTCTCTTTCTTCCATTATTTAACCAATGATAAAAAAATTCTAAAGTTTATTTTAAAGTTTACTTTCTAGATGACTAACATGGTGCCATTAATAGTAATAATGATAATTGGATCCATATAGTGCGTTTTCCAGGGATACAAGGCGCTGTCCCTTAGACTATCAACGAATGGTTCTAATTTTGTTCATCCCTCTATCTGTCTTTCACTTTTACTCTCACTCTCCCCCATCCAGCAATCGGCCGACATCCCACCAGTCACCCTCCAGGTGACAGGGGCCGACTCCCCGCCCCAGATCGAGACCCCCACCCCTCGCAGCCCCTCTAAGTGCAACGTCAATGAGCAGAACAAATCTCTAGCCTCATCCCTCCCGGACCTCCGCTGTCTCTCCCCTACCAGCAGCCGCAAGATACCCATCCCCACCGAGCTCCCGGGCATCCAGAGCTCCGCCGATGACTGCACCTCGCCCACGGGCGGGGCGGGATGCGGAGACGGCTTCGGGAAGAAGCTGAGGGGCGGACTCCGCCCTCTTTACGTTCCGGAGGTGGAGGAGATCAGAGTGAGGTAAGGATGACTTCTCAGCATTTAAAATTGAATTAAAAGCCCCACTGCACTACTTGTAGCTACTTGCTCCCTCTAACATAGAAAACAATTCCCAAGCGGTGTCCATTGGTCCCCCAAGATCCTCTGTTTCTTATGTTAATTGAGAGCTGAGTTGATGAAATAACCACCTGTCAGTGACCACACTGGGTGGTGTAATCCCTCCTGGCTAAGCTAGTGCAGACAGGCTTTAATACAGGATCCACTTGTTCCCGGAGGCAATGAGTTAACACATTGATGACCAAGCCTAACAACATACAGTAAAAACTCATTTAGATTGCATGTTATATCAAAGAAAAACAGAACTCAATGATTGATATTATTAATTTGACTAATTCAGACTCTGGATAAAACTGTTATACGTGTATGTACAGTTGCCTCTGCATAATTTGAATCTGTTAGGACTGCAAAATATAGTTGACATATGCAGTGTTTATAGGAAGTGTTACTTAGGAAGTGTAAACATCACATGTTTGACATAGTTTGGTTTTAAAAAGTTGCTTTGACTTGTGCGACTTTGAATTATGCAGAGTTAGTTGTATACCGTATGAAAGAAATCACTTGGAAATATGACAAGGACAGAGCTTGGATTTAATTTATCTGATTTTTCTTTTTTGCTTGAATTTGAACGATTGCAAATACTCTTTCAAGTCAATCACATTATTCTGAGTATTATAGCAAGTTACTACATTGTTGCCTTCACAAAACACTCGTTTTGTATAAGAGAAAAGAGAAATTGTTTGAAACAATACTAGGTATGACCTACATATCTATGTATCTCGCCTATTGAACAATATAAATTGTAGTTTGCATGAAAGGGTAACTTTGGCCTTGCTTTTGTTCTGTTCTGTTCTTGTTGTCAATTTTATTTATTTCAATAGAATTGCTTTCATTTATTTTCATTTCTTTATCTGTCTTTTAAGTTTAACTTTCAAAATTTGATTATTCTTTTTTCTCTGTTCTTCTTGTTATTAGCGCTGGCTTAAGGTACAGTGTAGCCTCAATATAAAAGTGATTTTGTTGCAGTGCTTGAGTTATTTTGGTTTTTTTGAATGTTTTGTTTGATTTTATTCATGATAATATGTAGAAGTTCTAATAAGATTAGAAAGTGACGTATAAAAACGAAATTAAAAGCATGTGCTAGAAGATACATGTAGCTCATGATGATAATACCATTTCTTAATTTGCACCTAATCACCGCCACATAAAGTAATCATTATGACTATATATTGAAAACTGAAAGTTTTCATAAGTTATTTTAATCTTTAGCTAGTTCACTGTTTAACATTTAGTTCTATAAATCAAAGTATGGTTACCGTAGTTACAGCAAAACCACAAATTAAGACATTGGTTGGCTATTGGACTTTGAGCATTAACTGCTATTAACTGCTATTAACTGCCCCCAAAAAATTGCTCACTGCCTTGAAGTTTCTAGCATAAATATGACATCAGCTCATGTGGCAAAACTTAGTGGAAACTGTTAAAAAACTGTTCAAAAGCTCTTTTTCCTCACGTACATTTTATATGGTTTAATCTTTGGCACTAACAAATTCTACATCTAGAGCTAAACCTCAAAATGTAAAACTTTGCCCCTGCTGGGCCATATGTTAATTACCTGCTGTGCTATAGGATTTAATAGTATTGATCTCTAGTCTTAATATTGATCATACTTTGTGTGTTATATGGTTTGTTTTTAATTTGAGTGTACACTTTATAACAGAAAGAGATGTTCAACTTTTAGGTAGACATCTTTGTTGTTGTTGTTGTAAGTACATGTAATTGTAGTTATTTTAACAACTGCAAGTACATGTACATGTACATATTTCATTCCACTTTCTACCGGTACACATATTGCCTACATAGGAGCTATATATGCTGTTTCAGGGATTTGCAAGGAAAATGTGGGATCATCCTTTTCTTATCAAATGAAATAAAAACAGGAATAAAAATAGCTGCATCTAGCTCATTGATCATGCCGACAACAGCTTAGTTGGTTGATACATATAATGTACCAGTATTTGCTTTTTTTTGTCTCTAACTAATCAATGCTGCTCGCTTTTTCCTAGTTTGATAACAAAGTTTTAAGGGCACTTATGCATGAAAGCCATCATTCATTTCATTATAGTGTCTACAAATATACTAACATTAACATTGCCGTGATTTATGTCATAGTGTGATGTGTTTCTAAGATAATACAAAGTAAGATACATGTTTACCTTGCCCATCGACAATAAGGTTCCTCACATTTTGGACAAAGCTTTAAAAAAGTGCATATAAATGAATTTGAGTATATAATGAAGCCATTAAAGAACAGTGTACAAAAGGTACGTTAGCTAGTTGTCATCATGGTCCAAAGGGGGCACTTTTGTACCTATCAAATTGGCAATGCTTCTAAAACTTTGATGTGTTGTGTTAGCGCAGACAGTATTTTACCGCTTTTTAAAACTTTTGGTAACCAGCTCCTAGCTGAAATCAGAATGACAATGCAGCTACAAAATCAGGCCGATGGAAGTTTAGTCTGCAATCCATAGATCTATACGATCAAGATTTGTTAAGGTACAGAATAGGATAGTTATATCATTTGCCTTGCATGATACTGATCATGGGTTTACCTGCAATGTCTCATTACAATATCCTTGTTGGGACTTCATTTATACAAGCTCTAATTTGATATGTGTTTTCAAGCCCCACTGCACTACTTATAGCTACTTGCGCCCTCTATACAACCAACAATGCCTAAGCAGTATCCGTTGATCCCCATGATGCCCTTTTTCTTGTTAATTGAGAGCTGATTTGATGGGATAACCACTTGTCAGTGACCTTGCAGGGAGGTTTAATCCCCCTTGCCAAACTAGTACAGACAGGCTTTAAGATTTGTATCAAAATTGTTATGTTATGCAAAGATTGTTAAATTGAATTGTAAATCATTTTTTAGGGGCAAAAATTACTGAATCCAATTCTAATTGTTATTTATTCATACTGAATCTATTTCTAATTATCATTATCATTTCTTTCGCAGTCCGGTCGTTTCTCGGCGCGGCTACCTGAACTTCCTGGAGGAGAAGACCGCCGGCTGGGTGACGCGCTACGTGGTGGTGCGCCGCCCGTACGTCTACATCTACAACAACGAGAAGGACCCGGTGGAGCGCGGCCTGATCAACCTTGCCACAGCGAGAGTAGAATACAGCGAGGATCAGCAGGCTATGCTTAGGGCAAGACATCTCAGCATTGTCGTTAGTCTTCATGTCCCTACTGTTTCTTATCCTAATCACCCTGTAGTTTAGACCACTAATCTCTGCGAAGAACAACCAATCACCAAAAAGATCTTAATTACTTTTTATGTCGCAAGAGATGAAATAACCTCTTGGAAAACTATATTAGATATTCAAATTGTTAATTATTACATGTCAATGCATGCACAGATGCTAGGTCAGGCTTAACTTCTGTTTGCATGGGTTGGCATAAGGGTGTGTTGACTGGGCAAGCTCAGCCCCGACTGAGTCTCCTTGGACGGTGTCATGTTTTAAGTATTAAGCTCATGTTTTTAATTTACAGCTACATGTATAGTATACATTATTAAACCCACTAAAAAAAAATGCTTTTTGGTCATTGGTTGTCTTTGATTATTTATTTTAATATTATTATTAATATTATTATTATCATTATAATTATTATTATTATTATTATTATTATTATTATTATTATTATTATTATTATTATTATTGAATTTGAAAGCAAACTGAGGCATATATTCCCAGGCTTTTTATCAAAATTTCTACATGGATTTATTTTTAATCCTTGTCACTTAGGATGAAAAGTCTAAATTTTCTCAGAGCACACACACAGACCAAAAAAAGAAAAGAAAATGCAAACAAAATAAAACAAAACATGTACAAATTAAATTGTTTTGCTCATGTCAATATTTACAAATTCTTTATTACAATTTGGCATCTGATATAATTATATTTTCTTAATGACATCTGTGTTTTTACATGTAGCTTCTCTGGGGGTATAAAGATCAAAATTGATATGCAATAAAGACGGTTCGGGTATTAAAGAATTTGAGAAGCTGATGTCAAAACTAAATTTTAGTGTTGGAATCTGCTCATAACTTAATTTCTAAGACTATGTCTATTTTTGTCATTTGGGCTACTTTGGTCAAATACATTTTGATTTTCAGAACCATCTAAAAATGCATTGAAATCTAGAAAACAAAAGAAAATGCATTAGATAGGAATTATCTTATGGTTTATCCAACCTCGATGCTAGCTTTTGCTTAAGAGTAAGAAGAGCTTGCTTTTAAAAAAAATTGGTGCTAATTCTAATGATATAAATTTTGAAAACTCTTTCATCATAATTAAAATATAAATGTCATCATGAAAGCTAATTGCATGTTGTTACTTTGTTTTATTAGGTATTCTGTGATATGAATCCCCCGTGATTCCATACCCAATTTCTACATGTTTGTGTGTATTGAATGTTGTGTACTTAAATTGCATGAAATATATTGCCCGTTTCACTGCCTGTTGTTGCAAGCAATATGTTAAATGATTGAAATAAATTCAGAACTATACATTTTTCAAAAGCCCAGTATGAAACCAATAAACCATTAGTAAGAAAAAGCAGGATAGAATCACAATTTAAAATTAGTAAGTGATACTAACCATCACCCTGAAATACTGTTGATTCATCAATCAATTTATTTGGTAATGAGTGTTTCTCTTTATTTTGCAATAAATTTAATATCAAAAAAACTATACATATACAAAAATTGAAACTCCAAAAGATGTAATGTAATCTTAAATTATGTTAAGAGGATGTCATTGTATCTATTGCATGCTTCCATTGATTTTCATTGATCATTCTCTTGCAATGTGCTTTTGCCAGTTTTCTACTTCACATCACAAAAGAAAGGTTTTGCATTGAGCCATTAAGCACAAGTTTGAACAATTCTATGATCAACAGTTTCTTATCAAGTTTGACACATGCATGAGCATTGAAACTTGTTTTAATTCACACCAAACTGGCCATATCAATAGGCATTTAAAAAGAGAATATTGTGCTTTGCTTTGGTCTTATGAACAATTAGAAGTCTAAACATCTAAGGCCTTTAAAGTTAATTGTTTGATACTTCTGTAAAGAAGAAAAATTTCTATCCATCATGCACATCGAGATCAAGAATTTGTTAGTATTTGTTATTTTCCACGCTTGCTTTGAGCAACTTTTTTTTTTCTCATCACGCATCATTCTCTTCATTACTCTTCAGTGAAAAAAATCAAGCAAGCAAATGACAAGTTCATAAACATATATAAGAATGTGTTTATAATTATGTTAATCTGTTCAGTGACTGTCTCCAAGTATTTCTGTGCCCATCATGTCTCCTAAGTACATGGAATAAAATTGGAAGAATTTATAATTTCGATCAAATTTAGTCTGCAGTGATGGTTTTGAGCTATTAATAAGCCGACTTGAAGCTGGTTGGATTGAAATGATCAGTGCCTTTCTACATGCCCTCAAGAGATGTAGAAGTTGACAAGTAAGAGGGCCCAAATTGTTTAGCGATTCTGTGAATGACACTGCATTGGCACTAAAGCTGCTGGTTGCTTAAAACCCCTGCCACCATCAGTTAACAAACCAAGGTGGATTAGGCAGATACATGTTTGTACCCTCCTACCCGATCCCTACTGCCAAGAAATTACTTTGTTTATCTGGTTGTGATAATGTTTAGATTCTTTTAACACAATCATTGAGATTTTGTACCCTCTTTGAATGACAAACTTTCAGGTTTATCTGGACTAGTTTCATGGGGCGATCCACATGTGCTGCCTCTATTCTTACAAAGGTCCTATAATTATGGGTCATAATCAATGGGTACAGTGCTTGAAGATAAAGTCATGGACAACAAACATGTTTGGTTACTGTGGTCATCTTATCAACCCCTTCCCTATCTTCTCTTTACCCCAACAGACACCAAACACATTCTCGGTTTGCACCAAGTACAGAGGTTTCCTGCTTCAGACCCTTGGAGACAAGGATGTCTTCGACTGGCTCTATGCCTTCAACCCTCTACTTGCTGGCTCCATCAGGTAATTATTGTCTAAGTGGATGATATTGATACGTTTATGATTATCATTCCCCCCCCCCCCTCTCTCTGTCTCTCTCTCTTCCCCTCTCTCTCTCTCTCTCTCTCTCCCTCCCTCTCTCTATGTCTGGTTAATTCTTATTGTCTTTCTATTTATACTCTCTGCAGTATCTCTGTCTATCCACCTTACTATCTCATCCAGTCTCTATTTCCCTATACCTACATGTACATCATCTATACATCCATCTCTCTCTTTATTTATCTTTTTTTTATAAATATTTTTAGTTTATCTCTTTCTTCCTATACATATTCAGCTTTTCATATCATATATTTATGTTTATTTCCTCATTAAAATTCACTGTCTCCTTTTCGTGTATCTCTGTCAATTTTTCTCAAACATTCTTTTACTTCTTCCATCATATCATTGCTAATCACATTCTCTCTCTCTCAATCTTTGTTTTTCTTCCCCATCTGTCTAATATCAAATCATTTATGATGAGTAGGAGATAATACTATTGATGATTGTATATCTGTTATATTACTGTAGTCTTTTGTTCCATTTTCATTCTCAGATCAAAGCTGGCTCGGCGTTCAGGAGTGGGTGCTACACAGATACCAGTTTAAGGATAACGACCATTGTCCTTCCAACCCAACAATTAGTCATCATAATGAAGGTCATCATCGTCATCAACGTCATCATCAAGGTCACCATCGTCATCATCATCATCATCATCATCATCAAAAGAGAATAGTGTAGGATAATGTACATGAGTACCTGTTAAACTCTTCATTCACTAGAATGCCATAGTCTTTGGCTTATCTGATAGGTACATAAAAGTATACACTGCAAGTGTGACAAATGTTGACTGTGGCACTCCACTGCTTGTTTCACTCGTCGACCAAAGCCTGTAAAGAGTTAACAGCCCCGTTTCATGAAACTGGTCTTAGGCTACTGAAATCAGCTCATTTGATTCGCTGTCAGCAAATTTAAAATCGAATTGAGCAATTATTATTTATAACAAGGTTTTATGGCCCAAGAGCCTTGAGGATGAGAAACATGTAAACTCTGACCACCCTCTCTCTTTAGCTGCCATACATTTTGTTGGGAGATGCTTTTAAAAGCCATCTTGAGAAATGAAGGTGCTTGTATGATTTTTTCCTAAAATTGATGATGGTCAGTTCCGAAACTGATAAGTAAAACAAGGGTCTAAATCAATGGTCAGTACATTGTATGTTAGTATGATAAATGTAGGTCTAAATGTGGTATATTTAAAGAGTGGGTTATTGGTGTGGTGTTAGGACCCAGGTTGATGATGGATCGTGAAGTTGTTCAAGGGCTCTTTGGTTTATAGCACAATTGGTACAAATATATTTCTTTATAAACCTAAGGATTCACTGTAGTTCAGTCTCTTCAAAGGTGTTTTGAAGGACAACTTGAAATTGAAGTGGTCTTATTGATTAACAATATGCCAATATTTCAGAAACAAAAACAAATTCTATCCGTTCGCTCAGTTAATGGAGTAGCCCACCAATCAAAGTTCAATGTTCTTTTTAACAAAAGACCACCTCTGGCCGGCAATCTATCATCTATCATGATCTCTCATCTTGCTGAGATATACAGCTAGTCAGGCAGGCATTCACAAGAAATTGAAAGGTAAACTCCTTGGCATGGCTGACCAAGTTAGAAAGTAATAGATGCAGAAAAGATGAACGTTTTGTAGCGGGATGCATTCCTTTGCTAAAAAGCAATGGCTGTTCATGAAAATACACCTAGGATTTACTAAGCTGCAGTACTTTCCTGAGAATTTGTACAGTGTAACCTGTATACAAAGACTGCTCAAGGGAGTCAAGAAACACTGTCTTCATGAGCAAGTGGTCTTTATATACAGGTTCCTTTAAAACATGTTTCAATGGGGAAACACATTACAAGGGAAACTAAATAATGTGATCTTTAAAGACAGGTGGTCTTTCTATACAGGTGGTCGCTAAAGCAGATTTGACTGTATTAATATAATGTAGAAATACTTGTTAAAGCCTTTCCATGAAGGTTCTCATTTTGTGTTGTGCTAGTCGTAGTGATTGTACAAATCTCATGATTGTGTCAAGTGCTAATTGACAGTTAAAATCAGCACCTTCCTAACACCACATTAGAAACCCTTTGGTGTATTTTACACCACAGTGACACCCCAGCAATGCCCAAATTGGGTCTGTACATATTATACAAGTAGTGGGAAATGCAATATAAGTGTCACAGAAGGAGCTTATCAAAAAAAATTGTTAAAAAAAGTGATATGTTAATGTCAAAGAAACTACAAAAGAAATGAATGCCATAAAACAGCTATTTTGCCATGTAAATAGACAAAAGCCATTTAACCTATTGTATGCTATGTGTGCTGCCGATGGAAGCTTGAGATCATGTGTGTGCTTAGTGTTGTACGTGTATATCAAAATTCGGCCATCGTTGTCAGACAACTAGTGTTTATATTGTAGGGCACAAAGACTGAAACAAGCTCAAATTCTCTTACAAATTCACATTTGTTCACACGTGGTACTACTTTTCAACTCATCTTTTCCCACCATCACGATATCTGTAGATGTGCTATACAGTTTTTATGCAAAATTGTCATTATGTATGCATTTTTTTATTCCAGCATTAACATTTTTTCTTAAACGTATCCCTAGTACACATATTTTTGTTTGGGTTTACTACTTAATGCCAGAAGATGTCAATGTTTTATAGCGAATAAAATACTGACTACAATAAAAGTGAAAAAGCATATAAAACGTTTGCCCCAACCCTGATTTTTCGTACTGTTGAGCATATTTTGAATTAAGATATCAGATCAGTTTTGCCCGATAAGTTAATCTCTATGCAACTTTTCAATGGAATATTCAATGTCCATGGTTATAGCATTATTTTCAGAACAGCAAAATATCATATATGACAAGCTAATATCATTGCTGATACAATATATAATGAGAGGGTTGAGGATGAAATGACAGCCACAGCAGTGACAATATTTTCGTAAAACAAACAGGATGAATTACACCAGACTTGTGCAGTTGGAGTTAGGTTGTGCCAAACTATTTAATCCACTACAATACTAGTGTATCTTTCTTCATACTTTGCATATTTCACCCATTAACATCCCTTTCTGCTTGTCCATGTCCGGTTCGCAAAAGACCATTCAATTCTGAGTTGTATTTTCTGAGATGTAAATCATGGCTCAGGGTAGCAAAAACTGCTTTTGGCTTGCCGTGAAGCCCATTATTTCGTAGGTATAGTGCAAGTCTCAAAAAGCTGTGCAATAACTGATGACAGGGTTGGGATTCATTTCTTCTTTTTTTCAGTTTGATATTTACCACATGTTAGGAAACAGCTTGATGCATTGGCAACAGGAAATGTTCATTTGGGATATAATGGCTTTTAAACGGTGCATTGTGGGATTATAGAAATGATATTTCAATCATAAATCTGAAGTCATTTGTCTTAAAGAAACCTTTTTTCTGTGTTTGCTACATAAAGCTTTCCTATAGCCACTGAAAAAATACACACACACTGGTATATACCTTCAGGCTTCAAGGAAACTTGTTGAATTGGAAAACTACCATGCTAGAGACAGTTGTGCAATTTTAGGGGGTCAGGAGTGGGATATGGGCATTATCTTTGAATCACCTGTTTGGTTTATTGAATTCTACACTCCTCTGTAGCAAATATTTTGTACTCCTGGGAATACATCATTTTGACAAACAGGGATGTGATCATTTTTGTTTTCTCTGTGCAGTTCACATGATTGAATGCTGTAAATTTTCATCCTTTGGACTTTCACAGTAAAAAAAGCATAGCGCTAAACATAAAGAGGATCATTTGATTTTGATGCCAATTTGGGACTTCCTCTTTTTTAGAAGGGGAAATTATGTTTTTCAAAAACATGTAATATAACTTGTGATGAAGAAGCAGATAAGATAGGTGTCCAAGTCAAGTTTCTGTCTGTATGTAAGTGTGATCGCTAGTCCTAAGGCCAAGTTAGATATAGTAATGAATTTGTCGTAGTAGACTCGATGTTCACTTGCATGCGGGACAAAAACTGAAATTTTATGGATGCTACATTTAGTATCATGTAAATATGATAAATATATAAATATATATATTAACTGTAGACTTTGTATAATATTATTTAATGTCAGATAAATTTCACCATGAACTTTAATTTATGTGTAAAATAATTCCAAATGCACTATGTATATTCTGCTCGATTTATGCAGGGAGGGGATGATTAGGTAGATGAAAATATGCTGAATGTCTGAAGAAGAATGTATGTGTCTTTCTCTTCCTCTTTCGATTGAAAAGTCAATTGATTTCTAGCTAGCTAGCAGTTGCTTTTACCCAATCATAGTGTATCTATCAAACTATTTAGATCATAGGGAAGAAAGGGTAGCAAAAAAGTGATGATTCATGTGAATTAACAGAAAAGTGACTGATGAAGAGATGGAATTATCTGCTGCAATTTTAAACAATATTTAGATATTTTTGTGTGTAATTATTCAATATCCTGGTTGGTACCAGATTTGAACTTTTCTGAGGCTAACATGGAATATGATATATATCTTGGCTATTTCAGATATCTGTTGATCTTTTTTTTCTCCATTTGATTCTATGAATTATGGCGGGTTTGCACTTTTTCTAAATTTTGAAAAGGACCTCCGATGTCATAAAAAGATGAATGACGTCAGAGTCATATATGGCAGAGGCAAAGAGAGTGATGAAGTCAAAGGTTTACAACAAATTCTGTCTTTCTTTTTCATACAAATAATAAGTTTTATTATTTTCTATACTGTTAGCAATATGAATGCAGTAGATAAATTTTATAGGAATGGACATTACAAACTCAATAAACATTCTTCTGATGTTTAAAATACATGTAGGAAAAATAAGTAGTGTTTATTAGTTGAATTTCTTCTTTTATTTTTAAAAAGGGAAACTTAAATAGAATGCAACATATATGTGAGTAATAGATGGAAGCATTGTGTGTTAATGAAGTATCATAGAGAGGAACTAATTATTTTATTTGTTAAAACAAATTTAGTGGTATTTTGTACCCTCTTTATATTTCCTATGTTTGTTACCATTCTTTAGCTGTTAATTTGTTGATATATATATATATATTAACATTGTTAAAGGGTTTGGTAATCGGTGCTGTTTGTTACATTTCAAATGAAGTTGCCCGGATAAATATATAATTTATGACTGCATTCAAATTTTGCTTTTCTATTACATTTTCCCATCAGTGCAATCTAAAAGAGTTTTCAGTAAGAGAAATATGTTGATTTCATTGCTTTGTAAATTTAATCTTATGTCATTTGAAAGCTAAGATGGAAGCAGCCTACGATATATATTTTAATAATTGTGCAATATAATGTCTGTCACTCAAGCATTGTAGAATATTTTTTAAATGATAGAATTGAACCATTTTGTTTTGTTCGTTTGTTGACTTGTTTAAAGTTCTTGCACAAGAATTTGGGGTTATTGTATCTGATTTTATCAATAGCGAGTAAGGCACAGTGTCAGAATGGCTTAAACTTTCCTAAATATTGTCTTTACCTTTCTCTCTTTCTCTCATAATTCTTTGAAATTTCGGTTCTATTTTAAAGATCAATTTTGTAAAGGAAAACGTCTACTACATTATTTATAATACAGAGCAAAGGTCATTGGGTTATAACTTTTGCAAGTGAAACAGTTTATGTATTCACAACTGTTTTTTTTTCTGGAAAAAAGTGTAGACAAAATACAGAACCAAGGTACAGATACTTAATAGAAAATGATATATAATATGGCGCTGTTGAATGCACATAAAATACATGTATATCTAGTATACTTACGCGAATATGAAATTTAGTAAGAAGTCTGCTTATATGATTAATGAACTTGACAATATACATATAGTTATGTCAGATATTAATGTAATAATGAAAATGGAAGTTTAGTAAATTTATTTTTGTTACTCGACCAACGTTTGTGAAATCTGTAAAAATGTAGTTAAGACACTAGATGGAGATATGTAAATTGGTTAATCCCCCTCCAAGTTCGGAGGACGGCTGTAATATAAAAGCATGAATGTGTATCGAAACCCCAGTATGATTAGAAAGTAAACTATAGTTGTGAAATCACCGAATATTACAGTCAAATCCGCACCCCACGTCGAAAATATTTGTGTTTGTTCCAAGCTCGCTCCCTTTGTGAAACTGTGTCATTAATCAAGCCCTAAAATGTTGGTGGCCAAAACTGTGCAAATTAAGTCAAACGCCGAAATGTATGTGCGTGTGTGTGTCCGCGCGCGTTAGTTTGACTATATATGTTTCACTACGTAGATGTCTGTCTCTCATAAACTGTAGCCGTAGGAAGCCTGTGCATTGTTGTTGCGTTCGAAAACAAAAATCAACGAAAAAATGGATTATATTATTCTGTCAAGCACTGAAAGATAACACTATCGGAAATAAAAACTGAGAGCATAGAAAGAACATGAAGAAAGAATTATTTTTGTTTCATTTCGTCGGTTTACTGTAGTTGTACACTTTTGTTCCTAATTAGATGTTTTATGCAAGAGAGAAAGGGGATAACAAATGATAAAAAATGAAAGTGAGAATGGAAGAGAGAGAATGTAATAGTGAAATATTAGTGATAGCGTGAATGGTTCGAGTATTGTTTTCAGTATCAATAACCAAAACAAATATCTGATAAGGCTTATAGGCCCATTTCTCCCGACACTGGACCCGATGTACCGAATCCTCGCCCTAAACCTAACCTGAAATCCAATGCCAATGGCAATTTCATAAGCCTTGTACGTTACGTAGAATAGTTATTTCACTATCATCATTTGGATATTACGTAACCCGAACATGATTTCTATGGGATGTCCGACAGGGTAGTGAAATCGCCCTGCAGTAGATTTTTCGAGAGAAAAAAAAGTTTTGTCTCGGGAGAAGATACTGGATGAACGGGCAACTAAATGAAAGGGTTAAAAGAAGTAAGTGATTCTAGCAGAGAGAAGAACCATAAACGAGACACGAACTCTACTTGGGAAGACAGATGATGCTGAGTTTAAACAAGCATTCATTATGTCAGTGTCGTCATAGCAACCAGCGTTGCGCATCACGTGAGCAATGTAATTCTGTTCTTGGACTCCGTGGAAAAGATGTGCCCTCGGTCCACTGGCGTAGATGGCGACATCGTCACCGCCGTGGGTCTCGGAGGAGAGTGGGACTATGGCCTCTTGCTTGTAGTCTCGATTCTCTGTGATGATCGAGAAAAAATAAGAGGAATAATTAAAACGGATAAGAAACGTCCAATAATACCGGATATTGATTATTAGAACAATGTGACAAATATGGAAAAAATGGATTTAAGTTGACTTTAACAAAGGCAGTTATACCGATGTTTAAGATTTCCCTTCGTTCAGCATGACTTAATCTTATGTTTACACCCATGTAAAAACCATTAGATCCTACTGGTTTTTATTGGTTTCTACTGGTCTTCAAACCATTAGACTCTCCTGGTTTGTAAAGGTTTCTGACTTGGTTTGACTTATATTTTTACACCCATGTTCAAACCGTTAGATCTTACTGGTTTCTACTGCATGGTCTTCAAACCATTATAATCTACTGCACGGTTTGCAAAGTTTCTACTGGTTGACCTAGTATTTTTACACGCATGTTCAAACCATTGTATCTTACTGGTTTATATATGATTCTACTGGTTTGACTTAGGATTTTTACACCCATGTTCAAATGATTAGATCTTACTGGTTTCTATTGGTTTCTACTGGTCTTCAAACCATTAGACTCTACTGGTTTGCAAAGGTTTATACTAGTTTGACTTAGTATTTTTACACGCATCAAACCATTAGATCTTACTGGTTTCTATTGGTTTCTACTGGTCCTCAAACCATTAGACTCTACTGGTTTGTAAACGTTTCTGACTGGTAATTTGACATTATATTTTACACCCACGTTCAAACCATTATATCTTACTGGTTTATATTGGTTTCTACTGGTCTTCAAACCATTAGACTCTACTGGTCTTCCTACCATTAGACGCTACTAGTTTGTAAAGGTTTCTACTGGTTTTACTTCACTGTTCCTCCCGAAACTATTAGGATTTTTACCAGTATCGATGCTGTCATTGAAAATCGTCCTCATCCCCGTATTTATGTAGCTGTCTCGGACTGCATCACCACCAGGACCATTCAAATAACCCAACGTAGTGTAAGGTAGTTTGTCAGATCCATCATATCCAGACAGCCCTGCGAAGAGAATGAGAATAGCAGTGGTGTAATGAGTCGAATATTTTGACAGGACTGTGCCACTTAGAACTCAACTATACACGTACATGTACTTCCATTTACTCCAGGAGCACAATACATACGATTCGGGTATTAATCCGTAGAAGGTGCAGGGAAGATGGGAGAGGGGGTGGTTATATTGCATCCCTTCCCCGAAATAAGAAGTATCTACATTGTGCTGTGATAAGGTTTCGCATTGACACCTTGGTTATGCAGCTTGGAATCTGCTCTTCAGGACCGTTTATGATCATTCAATCAAATCAAAGTGTGAGATTACTATTCAACCCCTTCTCTCTTCTCTTATGGGGATTTGGGTAGCGTTTATATTCATTTTTATAAGACAACTTTCCAGTTTCGAGGGACGACTCCTTTCTAAAAATGTTATATCTAGGGTTTACAGATTTTATAACTAAAGTCCTTTAACTAATGTATAGTAACTATGAGATAATTATATTGCATAACTTGTGGATTGTTATTACTTTTTGATTGAGTAGAATGCATGTAAGCTTGAATCTTACCAAGAACGGGGTTCCCTCTATCGGGGTATCCAGCAATTCCCATGGTGTGGGCGTGATCTGCTGTAACTATGATGAGCGTATCCCCATCATCCGTTATTTCCAAGGCCTTAGCAACGGCGTCTGACATTGCTATAGTGTCTCCAAGGGCGTTGTAGGCGTTACCAGCATGATGGGCGTGGTCTATTCGTCCGCCTAAAGTAAATTAAGCACGATTTGATTTACAATTCTGTTATCATGATGAAAAGGGAGCAAGATTTTAATAATAGTGGTTTCTTGTATAGCGCTCATGTCTGTCAGACTTCACACTCCTGACGCTCCGCAATTATTTTCCCAGCTTTAGCATGGCTGCCATTATAGCGCTCTAGCATTTCAAGTAATTAATTCCTGCCAGATACCCATGACCTTACCTGGGTCGAGTGTGGCAAATGTAGATCAATGTCTTGCCAAAGGACATTAGTGCGGCGGCGTGACTCAACTGCGGACGATGTTATTCACAGGCAGGTGACATATCCACTAGACCACGACACTTGAATTACAAAATATGGTTAAAAATGAAATAAATAAGAAATTCAACACCACATATTGTTATGAGCAAGTTAGAAACATTTCGTAGACTGCTAGGTATAAGAAGAACAGGGTTCACAAACTTTGGAGCCCCTTTTCCGTGATTATGTAAGTCATTGAGTCTTTTATATTTCCTCTCATGGTATGTAACGCCCTAGTAGCAAAAAGTGATTTTCAATAATGTTGTTCACTTATGAATAAATGAAAAATATGTCATTACGTAATACTAGAGAACAGGGCCATAATATTTACCTTCAACAGCGAGAAAGAATCCCTTTTCTTCTTTTTGCAGAATTCTGATAGCTTTCTCGGTCATATCGGCTAGACTTGGATCGTCACCCTCTTCTCCTCACTTGCGAATCTCATATTTGAGTGTTCAAACAGACCTGGATAAAAACGGGAAAATCGATGAGATATATAACTGGAAACAACTAATGTCCGTTGCGAACGAGGCTTTATATGCCTGACTGCGGTCTTTGAGGCAACATGTTGGGGAGACCTTGTGAATTAGCCACAACAAAACATTGCAAAGTGAACAGTGCAAAAATTGCGTTGAATTTGTCTTCACAGGCTTGATTGGCGCGTCTTACTCCGTTCCATCCGTAGGGGAGTTTGTGAAAAAAAGGGGGAAGGGGAACCATACATCTCTCGTCTCATTTTATTCTTTTTTTTTTAATTGTTATTTTAGTTACGACTTAGGTTCTTCTCATTTGTTAACGACTTCATGATTGTATGATATTTTTTTTTCTAATTATAACAGAGGTATTTTTTGTCTATTATAAAGGAAATGTAAAAAAGAAATCATTGTGGAAGTAGGACCTACTATGCTTTAATACATGTATTAAATATAAGCTATCAATTTTATATATTGTATTGATGAGGTTATAAGTATAATTGTATTAAGCCTTATGTTGCATTATTTTTAATGTATTCGATTTATGTTTGTTAAAAGAAAAAGAATGAAAATAACATTCCAAGTCAATTACAACAACCAAATCAACCCCCCTACAACAACAACGAAAACAGCAACTGTGGAATGGGCAACTCTTTTCGCAAGCACAGACTGTGTGTATTTGTGTGTATTTTGGACAAAGGTGTGAATTGATACTTGAGTTCTGATGTATTTCTTTATAACTTAATTCTTATATTTCCATTCATTGATGAGGGATCAGGGGCGGATCTAGCTTTTTTCTAAGGGGGGGTTGAGGGTTGACCCAATGACGATGCGGACCATCGTCCACGAGCCACGAAGTCCGAGCCGCGTAGCAATGAGGCGATTTTTGTTATTGTTGCTATAGGTGATGTTTTTTACTAACATCTACTAATACTGTATGGTTCTGGACACATGATGTCGTTTTTCTATGCGCGTCATATTTTCACATGGCAGCCCAATGGAGGGGGGGTTAAACCCCCTACCCCTCCCCGCAGATCTGTCCCTGGGGGTATAAATCAAATGTACCATGCCCTCTTTTCGAGGAACCTGTCAAATTCTGGATTTTCAGTGACTTCAGTCCCTCAGAAACTAGTGCTAAGCCGGTCACAGAGAATTTAGGATTTCAACTAACGCCGTACAGTGCATGTTAAATTCGATTTTTATTAAAATTTCATTTTGAAATCTTTCCATAGGTTGACAGCGTTGGTGTATCATGTGGATTTACCAATTTCAGATTTTGATTATTGGCGGAGAATTTAATAATATTGAAAAGGATGCAATTCATAGTTGTACACGACAATTCTCAGTTAACACATTCTCTCTCTCTCTCTCTAGCATAAAGAAAATGAATATAGTCTTTTGTCTTGATTAAGACAGATTGAACATTTTATCAGTTTTAAACAGTTAAAAAGAAATGGCAAGGAAATTTATCAAAACGAACTTTTAATGGTTCATTTGTGATGGATACGAATGCAGGGAGGTTGAAATGGGAATAATTAATTATAAACCAATCATAAATCAATTCTTTGACATTGATTGATTCGTCCAATTTTACATGAATGTGGTGACTTGTCGGTTACGAACGGCAAGCTACGATATCCACTCAATCTATCAAACAATACAAAATCTAGCTGTGCGGTTAATACACAGACAAGAAAGTAAATAGAAAAGGGAGGTACTAGAATTATGATATTGTCGATGATTAAAACTGTGGATTAAAAAAAAAAAATCAAACAATATATTCTGAGGTCATATCTATTGCATTTTAGATTGTCTTATCTGCCAGCGTATTATTGAACACCATGTTTAATTTAAAATGTGTGTGTGGATCTGTGTGAGGTATTTTGAGGGGTTAGGGGGTGTGTGAGACAAGCTAAAAGGGGAGGGGACTATACATCTCTCATCTCATTTTATTCCTTTTTTTTTTAATTGTCATTATAGTTACAATTTTTTTTGTTAACGACTACATGATCGTATGACCTAAGTTACCTATGGCTATTGTAAAGGAATTGTAATAAAAGATCACTGTGGAAATAGGACCTACTGTGCTTTTCTTTCAGATTCTTACATCTAATATAATTTGTTTGCCCTCCCCACCGTATTTTTTCTTCAAGGCTAATCTTAATTGATAAATTAATGATGCATGTTCCGGTTTTGTAATGTTTATAAACAAATTGCTTTGTGCTATGCTTACTAAATTGCTCGGGTGACGACGCATTTTGACCCCGGATTTTAACCGGGTGACTCTGGGTATTGGTGTTAATGCATTATTTGGTATACAAAAGTCCTTATTTCATTGTGTTTTAAATTCTCTCCTCTAAATTACGTCTTTCTCTACTGCTACTGTTTTTCATCTACATTACTTATGTTTTTCAGGAACCTATATTATACAACCATTGCTTTTTAATAAGTTCCTCACATTCTACTTAATCTATTATATGAATTGAGAATCATTGATATGTGCTCTTTTACACTACAATTATATTGTAATTTTTTTATTTCATATGTACATGTATGTTTATATTTTCTGTAAAATGTGAAACAAATAAAACTTGAAACTTGAAATACATGTATCAAATATACTGTAAGCTATTTATTTCATATATTGTATTGATGAGGTTATAAGTATATTGTACTAAGCCTTATGTAATTAAATTGTCCACTATTTTGTATCCTAGTTGTGCCATTAACGTATTATATATTTGTTTGTTAAGAGAAAAAGAATGAAAACAACATTCCAAATCAACAACAACAAACTCAATCCGTCCCTCTGATAGGACGTTAAATTGAGACCCCGTGTAGAGGAGAGTCACCACCTTTGTACGTTATTCGTATAATACCCCATTCACAGTGGCCTCAAACACCGCGACAGCAGCGGGACTGTCCCGCTGCTGTCGCGGTGTTGTCTTCAGTGTGAAGGCTCGGACCCGTTATAAACTATCGCGGGATAACACCGCCTCGCGATAACGCCGCGACAAACTATCGCTAGGTTCGCCTAGCTACAGCAGCGGGACAGTCCCGCTGCTGTCGCGGTGTTTACTCAGTGTGAAGGCTCTCCGCTATAACACCGCGACAAACACGTGTGATTTGTTTACTTACCTATCACTGACCTCTTTTCTCCAGCAATGGGGAACATAAAGTGAAATAGAAATAAAGTAACCAGTGGATTCAAATTGATTTTATTATTATGTAGATATTATAATTATCCAAATAAAAATATTTCACACTTTAAAAAATTAAAATATTCTGACTGGAAGCAATAAAAATGCTAGTTTTTTAAAAAGTAATATGATCGAGGATACAAAAAGCAACTTGACATGTTTACCTTTTGCAAGCTTGCCTCATCGTTTTTCCGTGCCGTGCGTGTTTGTTACGGAGGTAATAAAAATCACCCGCTGCAGCGTGAATGGGTACATGATATTTATCCCGCTGCTGCAGCGGGATAACTTTTCTACTGTGAATGCATTTTTAGCGGTGTTATGGCGGTGTCGCCGCTCCGCTACAACGCCGCTACAAATTTCAAAACCACTGTGAATGGGGTATAAGAGTAGGGGTCCACCTGCATACCCCCGATCAGTTATACTGGGAAGAGAGACCCGAGGTTTACAGTGATTCAGTTCACTTTTCGCCTCTAAGGCACAGGTGACGCTAAATACTTAATACTAAATAACTACCCCCCCCCCCCCCAAAAAAAAAACAAACAAACAAACAAACAAACAAAAAAAAAAAAAAAAAAAAAAAAACACACACAGCCACTGTGGAATGTGCAACTCTCTTCGCAAACACAGTATGTGTGTGCGTGCGTGCGTGTGTGTGTGTTCACGTGTGTGTGAGCGCGTGTGTGCGTGTGTGAATGTGTACCGACTGCAAGTGGAGGTCATATAACATAGGAACATGAGGGGCATAAATCTGCGTTAAGTGTAAGATATGCTCGGAATGAGCTAGGAATAACAAAGTTCTATGTGTTTAAAGTATTGCTTGCATTTCAATATTTTCACTGGCTGCCTGCCGTAGCAACAAAACGTATTGACAAAAGACTTAACTCGTTTCGTTGAAGATCAGCCATATACCAAATATTTCATGCATGACTGATTGTCAACGAAAGGGAGTTAATAATAATAATAATAATAATAGGGGAGGTGTTGATTTTAAATATATATATATATGTATTTAGTGCTCACAACCTCCCCCCCCCCCCCCCCTTCCACCCAATCCCTCGCCGCCGGCTGGATCCGCCCCTGACTACTACTACTATTACTACTACTACTACTACTACTACCAGGCGTGTACGCAGGGGGGAGTCGAACCCCCCCCCCCCTCTCAATTTTGTTTGAATGTGTATATTTTGCAGGAAACCCCCCCCCCCCCTCATTTTTTTTTTTTTTTTTTTTTTTTAATTTAAAAAATTGCTAAAGGGTGACCCAAAAAAGGTGAACTTACCCCCCCCCCCCCCCCCCCCAACTGAACGAAATATCGGTCGGCCAAATTTTCAAATTCCGGGACAAAAAAAAAAGTGTTCTTACCCCATTCCCCCCCCCCCCCCCCGCTTTTTCAGCAGCTGGCTGAGTCGTTGCGACTTTTTCGGCGAGATTTTTTAATTTTAACCCCCCCCCCTCGAAAAAGTCCTGCGTACGCCCCTGACTACTACAACTACTACTACTACTACTACTACTACTACCACTCCTACGACGACGACGACGACTGCTACTTCTTCTGCTGTAGTCAGAAGTAATATGAACATTGGTCTACAGAAAGTGTAAAGGTGGAAAGGAGTAATACATTAGAAGATGGAATAAGGTAATGTATGGTATGGTACATGTCTTGCACAGTAGCCTATGGATAAATTCATTGATAAATGTCCATCAACAAGTTCTTTATTTACT